GATAAGGGAGGAATTTTGTATTTGGCGATCGTTGATGCTGAGTGCCAATGGTTCATGTACCAGGTACGAACGCATTGCTAACATCGCCTGATGCTCATGCAAAGACACTAAGTGCACATTCACAATAAAATAAGACGTGCAGACATGTACTTCTCGCTATTTGCACACAAACCAGTCATGCCAGTAGGTGCTTGTGGTGTATCCCTTGGCTCTGGAAAATGGTAAAAAGGCAGCCTTTCTTGTTTGAGCACGGAGCCACGTGCCCCGACTCAAAAGATGCCACACGTTCCAGGATATTCAGATGAAAATAAGTCACAGTCTGGGTCATAACGTGCCAAACCAGCATGCGAATGCTTTCTTGTGAAGGCCATGTAACATCATACAATGCTCTTCCTGCAAAGAGTCCACCCACGTACATGTACACATTCCAATTCTGATGGCAAGTGTGGTGCTGCCATGGAAAAGGTTACATCACTATGGTTACTCAAATGTCATTCTACAAAAGAAGGTGATCAAGTTATGTTGGAAACATCTTCATTTTGTAGACAGTCATTCTACCTGCAGTTTTATTTAGTGCCGCACTGATACATAAAGGCTGGTTCGTACCGGCACTTGGCAAGAAAGTGAATGTAAACACAAACTTTGTGATGTAAATTCTTTGAATGCAAATTTATGCAAATTTGTGATGTCACACTAGTTTGTTTTATTTCGAACCATGGCAAATCTTGCTGCTTATGTTTTGTGACTTGACTTCAATAATTACTTGTGCTTTTAACAGGGTTAAAAAAAGTTTGAAACCTGAAGCATGTAAAAAAGCAATAGTTACAAATGTATGTAACTCAAGAGAGTGTGCAAGTTGAACTCAAAAACCTGCAAGATTTTATGGGAATACCGGTAGGCCTACAGTACATCCCTGCACCACGTACATTGCACATGTACTAACCCATACCTTCCTCAATCCTCCAACTGTCCAATATCTTCCAGGCGGTTTTGGATGATTTAGAGGTTTGAGGCTGAATGGCAAAAAAGTGTTGATTAATTTTGGAGGATTTGTTAATTTTGTCCAGTCAAGGGCAATATTATTAAGGTTCTGTGAAACAGAAGAAAGCATTACAATTTACAACATATTGAAAATATTGTGAACTGATGACTAGAATAGAAGGAAAAATGTTAACCTCAACTTGGATAAATTTTAACACAGAAGTCCAGTAGAAGGCCTAATTAATTGTTAAGACATTCACATGAAAAGTGATTGTGAACCAGCGAACCTTGCATGCTCAATACAGAATGCAGAGCTCCATTCATGCATGTTTCCTGTGTTTCTCATGTTCAAACAAAATCCAGAACGCAATGCAAGCAGAGGTACTACAAACATGACAAGGAATATGTTACACAGTCAAAAACTGCCAAGACTATTGCAGACAGCCTAAAAACATCGCGTTCTGCACCCCGTCAGAATCAATACAAAAACAAATCAGCAGGAGCAAAATCTCTGCCTCTCCTTAAAACATATGAATCAATACTTCAAACTCCTGACAGCCGACATGATCAAAACAAGACAAGGAAAAAAGCCTTTATAACCAATCGCATTTTAATGTCGCCGATTATTTTCCAGATGAGGGACAGGCCACAATTGTTCAAATTTTGCTAATGCAGGCAAAGTTTCTAAACTCCAAACCATTTTTTAATGAATGGCATTGTAATGTAGCAATAGGCATATCTTTCCGGATATCCAACAGACACGATGGACAGGCTACAATTGGTCTTGACATTTGGGCCGGCGTGGGCCACGTTTCTATTCATGGCTGACATTTTACATTGAGGTTATTGAGCTGGGGAAACCGTGCCATTGAGCGGGTTGCAGGTGCTTCCATTTAGTCACAGTCATAGCAGACGGCTAGATTTAAAGGTTAATAGAACCATGATCATGGAAACTAAGTAGGATTCTTTGTCTTGACGCGTGCGACATGGGCTACAATTTACATGTATATACATTTGTACATATTATCATTACATTCTTGCAAAGTACAATGTACAAGAACAGCAAATAAGAAGTTCTTAAAAGTTCAAGACATAAACAACAGTTTTAAAATCCAAACTTTTATGTACATGTGTATAACACAAGAGGCAGTTGTCGATGTGTACCGGTATGTAAAATTGATACATAGGGGCCTAATGCATATGACTAAAGTGATTTTCAGGTGAAATCAGAATTCAGGTGTCTCACAATCATTACGTGTTGTATACGTGTACATGTATGTACAATATCCAAATAAAAGGGGAGTTGCTGACACTTTTTTCATTGTTTACAATGCACGTGATACATACATGTACACGTATGTACACATGATATTAGGGGGGTACATTTGATATTGATCAAATACCTCTACATCGTACATCATAACAGCAACAAATGAATATATCCCTGATAGTAGAAAAACATGTTGATATGTACCGGTACCTCTATTTCCCTCATATATCCTCCTTTTGTTTGGACGAGAAAACTAAAGAAAACAAAAACAAATACATGTAGATCTTATGATCCATTGATTCAAGCGAGTGAAAAAAGGCTGGTACCGGTACTGCAATTTAGAAAAACAAAAACAAACGCTCAAATTGACCTTCAGTTTACACCAGTTGGGGAATGTAGTGAGGATTTAAGAATCATATTTCCCAGAAAAATGTGGCACAAATATGTAAAAGTTATTGTTTGTGGTCAAGTTTTGAAAACTGCCACACATCACACACATACATTGTAAGTGACCGAAATGACAATACGTATGCATGTACATATGTATGTATCTGGCCCCTTTTAAGAGTTCAGGAATCTCACTAATAAGGATCAATTACAGATATTCACAATGAACAGATGATGGTTTCTTCACACGTTTTCAAGATTATTAAAACTTTTTCTTCTTCAAGACCTTTTTAACCTACATGTACATTTTGGGCGGAACTTTAGCATAATAAAAGTTAAAATTTTATTCACTTACAAAATGTACACACTGCGGTGTTTGAACAGTGTTAGTATCAGGTGTGTGCGTTACTTTGATGCAAATACAAATTATGGCTGTGTACAATGTAATGTTGGCTGATGGAGTTATGGCGTGTTGAGAAAATATTGGCTGTTATAGCATCATATTTTAGTCTCCTAGAACATTTGTACAACTTGACAGAATCAACTTCAAGAACATGATTTTCTGCTATAGAGACACTGAATCCTGCCACATTTGGTTACACATGTAGAACAACACAGGTACAATGTACTTGTGGCAGGATTAATCTTGGGAGATGAAGCTGATCTGATAATGAAGCCAGGATTTCAGAAACACCTTGAGGTGCACATGTATTCTCCACACTTTAAACAATTTGGCTTCACATTTGCAGTCAATGTGTGTTGGATAATTTCACCCAGTGCAACACCCACTGAACTAGCACTATACTAGAGAATGGTTCATCATCAATCAAATAAGACAGCGCTTGATTTAATGAACAACTACTCGGATCTAATTAAATTCCAAGTCTACCATGAAAGACGGCAAAGTTTGCCTGCCAGGATCTCTAATCAAATTCGTCCATGTGTAAAACTGCATTTATTAATAATTTTTTTTTTCAAGAGGAATAGTGTTGAAACTTAGAAGGTGAAATCAAAGGGAAATTTACATGTAGCACAATGAAGTTTGAGCTGAAACATGGAAGATGTTGAATTCCTTCACTGATTTCAATACACTAGGTTAAGGGGAAAAAATAGTTCTGCTTCCGGTTTCCCTACCTACATGTACGGTACCCTATTCTGACAGCCCCTAGCTTAATTCTGTTATGGAAAAAAATGAGAAAAAACAACCAAAACCTAAAAACTTAGGGTAGGGGCTGTCAGGATAGGGTACATAGGTCCCGGTAGGGAAACCGGAAGCAAAACTATTTTTGTTGGCCTTAGCACGACATATTTGCATAATTGGCTCAGAACTTCTGACAATTTATCAAATGTCCACTTACAAAATGCATGTACCTTGGAAACGAAAGAGAAGAATATAGGCAGCTTGTGCAGTTTCATAGAGTTCTTAATTAAAGCATCCAAAAAGGAAAACCAATTAAAGCAAATAAACAGGTTTTTTTTCTGTGAATACAATGAATGCAACACCTGTCACAACCGCCATAACTTACGTAAGTTTACAATACAGTATCACAATATTGACCTCAGAACCGTATGTTCGGTAACATAAAACAAAACTAAATGAAACAAATAAATTGGGAGTTTCACTCAATTTGTATACATGTAGTTTTAATATTTCAATCTTGTGGAAATTTTGTAAAGTATGGTAAATGTATTTCAGTTTCTTTAGCCATTTGCAGCAAATCCATCACTTCTCACAGATAGGCCTTAATAGTTTTATTTTGTATCTAATGGACATAATTAAATAAAAAAAAACACCAAAAATGGAATCTGAACACTTAGGCGGCATATTAATTAATTAAAATGTGACAACATTACACTGTCAATTTTACATGTACACACATCCCATACCGGTTGTGGAAATTTACAAAATCACTGTATAAAACATAAAATCATCCGTGTGTAATTGACAGCACATACAGTTGTGATAATGTGCGTGCAATTTTATGTGAAAATGAAACAAGTAACAAAACAACAAAGATAACTTGGTAATAATTAACCAAATTCAGATAAAAAAAATGGGAAAAATATCAATTTTCCCTGAGCAAGTGAAATTTATGTAAATTGACATCATACAATTCTGCCTGGTGCAATTTAAAAACAGATTGTTCACTTCATATTGTACAAGGTTTTCTCCTTATCACGAACGGAACAGGTGCTGAAGTGAATCCAATCACATAAAATATTCAAACTTCAAATCAAATATTCAACATTTCAGACAGTGAAGGCATTTTTTCCTTTCATGCAATATTAACCCACATTCACACACACAATGTTTTGTAAAAAAGAGACAAACAACGCAGAAACATAAAATTGCTGACTCTACCTTTTCCATTCATTTGTTCACTCCTTCAGAGTTGCCCAGACTTATCCTCCGTGTATTGTTTTCGGCCAAACGATTCAACCATATGGCCGTTTCGCGGCCACTTGCTCCGATCTGACGCAGCGCTCCACCAACTGTTGTATGTGAGCAACGCAGTCAACAACAGAAACCACTCAGCACAGACACACGTACATTGTAGTGTACTGAGGGTGGTAGCGTTTACTGTGTATTGTAGTTAAGCCACGTTGATTGTGGCTGTACCTGCAACACACGCACACAGACACCCACACGCACACCGACAGGGAAGTGACAGCTGTGACAGCGATATTCCCTTGGCTGTGTACGTTGTAACATCTCATCATATGTGTAATATTCAAGTGTATGCATTCAATACAATATAATTGTAGTGTGAGTGTCGCGTGGGGAAAATATCGCTATTAAAGATGATAGCAAATTTGGCTACATGTACATGTATTGCTTAAATGGGAAGACTACATTTGTACATCTAGAGCTCCCAGTAGGGAGGAAAGGTTACACTGCTGGCAGCGATATCCAACGAGTAATGAGTAGCATAAAATTCAACAAAATAATTTATCTGAAAATCATTACTACTGGTTCATTCTATAAATTTGGCGTCCACTTTTGTTTTTGTGTCCCTGTTACATCGGTCAGTATGATTTAGAATGCACTCCTTAATGCAGTCCTCTTCCAAGATTATGAACAGCAAACTACCCAGAACTCCCCCCCCCCCAAAAAAAAAAATCCCAATCTTTTGAAGTTATTCTTAATGATGTACCCCAGTGCACTACTGCATTGTACATATTTTACTGTTACTGAAAGCTAAATGTTAATTATCTATTACCAGAGTACGGTACACCCAAAGTAAATATGGCATGATGCAATTTCTTGAAAATGTGTGATTCTTTTTTCTTTAAGGTCTGCACTTGAACTAATCGATCAGATAAAATACTTTTGATTTGTTGTTAAAAAGACAAGTTTAAGAATGCTGGTCCAGGATGGGCACTTGATTCAGCCTACGGTACCGGTACATGTACCGTACTGGTGAAAGTCTGCGGAAAAATTCTGAGAAAGCAAATCTCTTTCGTGAGTTTGGTTGTTTATAAGAAGAACCTGCAGACACTCATTGTTCCAGCAAGAGACAGTGTTGCCCAGGTCAAAAGAAAATGAAATATATGTAGCCGCTTTAATTAAGTCACTAACATGACTAACAATTTTGTAACTCTACAAAATTAAAAGTCCAACATTCCTACATTCCTCCATTTTAAAGTACAGCACAGGTCTACATATTGTATCCCGTTGTGGCGGAGTGTGGCCTAGTGGTTAGGATTTGTGACTCAGGATCAGAGGGTCAGGGGTTCAAATCCAGCCACTGGCCAAATGGTGTGTCCTTGGGCAAGCCACTTCATCCCCACTTGCCTCTCTCCACCCAGGAGTATAAATGGGTACCGACACTTGCTGGGGAGTAACCTACTGCGATGGACTAGCATCCCATCCAGGGGGAATAGAAATAATCTCAATCATTTCATGCTACTGAAACCGGAGATAAATGCCGGCCTGATGGGCCACATTGACTCATGTTAGACTTTATTTTTCTAAACCAATCCCGCTGACCCTAAATGTTTTATAAATGTTTCTTCCTACATTTTGTACAGCTTTAAAGTTTTCAAGTCAAAGCAGACAACATACAGAACATAAGAGAGTATGCCAATATTAAGACAACAGACACTCCAAGAAATTCATACCCTGCTGTCTCAAAAAAAAATCATTAAAAAAGGGTTTCATGAAGAAGCATACAATGGCCAATTAGCAAGACATCAACCACGCTAGGAATATACACAGTGGCAAGAGTATTTAAGTTGGAAACCGCATTTCATCCCTTGCGGTCATGAGTGTTGTGAACTTGGATGGACAGCTCTTTGCAGTCACACAAAGAACAATGTGAGTTGTGTCTGCTTTCCCGATTTATAAGAAAAACAAATCTAGGACGAGCTTCAAACAACGCAAGACAAATAAGAAATTTGAAAAAAAGAAGGATTATACGTACCTTGACTCTCCATGTTTTCCCTACAATATGAAATGTCAGGTCTCAGGAATGTTATGCTCTGCCAATAATAATCATATAGCACGCTGATACAGTATTGTCTTCACGTTCAGAACGGACAATTTACAACTAATTGTGCCACATCCTAAATTACAAGTATTTTGTATGGAGCGAGCCAGCTGCTGCCCAGACCACTAATGACTCAAACTCATATTGTTACTCATATCCACAACACGGGTGCCCTGTCTTCCTTCAAAAACTGACTTTTCCTGTGTGTAGACTCCGCTCAAGTCTGTAGCCATTCTATCACGATTAGAGGAACATTACTAACATTGTAGTCAAGTCCATCACAAGTCCGTCCAGTCTGAAGTCAAGTCACAAGCTATTCAAATGAAATGTGACGAAAGCAGTCTTTTGTACTTGTACTTGTCTTTTGTACCTTATTGCTTGTGACTGGACTGAAAGGACATTGTTCGTACAATGCACTGCTACGACCAAGCAAAGCCTAAATTTGCCTTACATTATTTCTTAACTTCCTTGGGTTCAAATTGACTTTTTTAACATCCAATTTCTCTCCAACGGTGTGCATGTTCAGTGACATTCTTTTTTTTGTCCAGGCTGCCAGGTATTCCCATAACATTTATAACCACTTGGAAACTAGTAAACGGTAACTGCTGGCTTGTTGAGCTTGTGGCTAAATCATGATTTGAGTGATTCATTGTGCATACAGGATCGATAATTCTGGCTACGCTACACAGCATCGGCAGGGAAGTGGTGAATTTCCTAGCTGATAACTAGGTCTTCCTGAAAAACTACAAGTAACCTGCTTAGAAGTCATTAGTGTACAGTTGCATGGGATCATAAAATGGTTCAAGGATCTACGTGTTCAAATACTAGGCCTACCTGGACGATACATTTGTGTTTGTACAACAATGCTGCACCAAGATAGCCAGGTGTGTACATTGTAAATTATGTACATATGTACATGTATGTTACGCTCCAACTTTACCATTGGTCCCAACTTAAGTTGGGACGGGCCCAACTGCCAAGTGCCACTCAAGTGCTGGAGAATCTACCGGTATTAACTTGTTGTTGGCCTAAGTTTACTTTTTTTTGGCGACATGTACGGTAGGCCTATAAACTGGCAAATAGCAATTTTATTTTCATTATAAACTCTGCCATAAAAACTAAAGTATACATGTAGGACAACTCAATTGGTATGGTCCAACTGGAACACTTTAGTTGGGACAGTCTCAACTTAAATTGGGACTGATGGTGGCATCATGGAAGTGACTATATATTGCAGGAACAGTACATGGACATACAATATCTTCTTGCGAAAAGGCTGGAATTTTCCAAGTTGATGTACATGTACATTGTACAATGTACATACACATTGTACTGGTTTTTGAAATCCTGGTTTCAGAGCTAGCTATAAGAAGATGTCAATTATTTGCCGACAGCAAGAAACCATTTGCATCGTCACGATTCTTTTCACCCACGGGACCTGTATATCCACTCGTCAATGTCTCAAACAAAGCCTGCCTGGCAAACATATTGAATTACGCTGTCTTAATCATGATCTCCCAGCATTTGTTACCATGGTTACCGTGGCAATCTCAAGACTAATTTCTAAGCTTTCTGCAGCAGAGTTCCCTTTGGGATCTGGGTGATTATTCTGCGGTTAAGACGAGATGGGAATACCGGTATCAATCACTCACGAATTATGCCATTATAACAAAAGCAATGTGTGAACATATCTGCTGCGTAGCACTGTGTACAGCATGGACACTTAATAGTAAATGTGGAACATTGCTTACACGTAGGTCAAAACAAAAATGAGTTCTGCTTCTGATTACATGGCAATTAATAGGGTAGGTAGGTAGGCAATTTTATTTTTTTGGCTAATTTTGTTTGTGTATAAACATACGGCGGCGTCTGCGTGTAGTCAAGGGTACAAGGTAGAAATTAATGGTTTGGGGGTTTTGGATGTTTTTGTCTCATTTCCCCTCCCCCCCCAAAAAAAAATTAGGGTAGGGGCTGTCAGAATAGGGTAGGTTTCATAACATGTGGTATAATGCTGATTGAAATTCAAGTTCCACCTTTATTTATAACAAGCTGAATCTGGAAATGCTGCATTTGAGTTTAAAAGCATTGAATAGGCATTGCAGTTGGTGACATCACAGGTGAGATAGAGTGCCCAAGTAAAATTTACACCCTTTCACTTAATTGATTGTACATTTTTTTTAATGGATCTAAGGACCCAAATGGAATGGGGTAAAAAGGACTCTTGTGGATTGAGAAATAGTCAGGCTAATTTCATAGAAAAAAATATTAAAACATTTTAATTACAATGTATTTGTTTTCTGAAAGTTGCACTTTTTTTGCACACTCTGAATTTGGTACAGAACAAAATATGAGTAGCATACAATGCATATACATGTACATGTACATGTACAGTGGGTTTGACTTGTGATGCCATGACTGGCAATGCCCAGACTAAAGAGGGCAGCATTGAACATATATGGTCAAAGAGTGAAGTACCTGCACATACATACAAATGTATACATGTACTGTATGTTTATGATCAGAATAGTTCATATTGACACAAATTCATTTGTATACTATGTACATGTAATGTATGCAACCCTAACTCCCTACTGTCTTTTACTAATTAGTACTGGACCAAGTCCACCAAAATCCATCAATCACACTGCTTCCAATCATTCAAATCATGGAGGAAGGGTCTGTTTTCCTTCCTCCAAGTTCCAATGCATGCTTTCATTTAGGCCAAATAAAACATGTTTAGCGTCCTGCCTTTTTGAAAAAAGGAAGCGAGAGGCCCTTTTTTTCCCCCCTCCAAAATGGCCGCCCAAGCAGGCTATTTTTCAAGATGGCTGCCATTTGACTCAGGAAATGACATACCACCTTTATCCATGTATGGGCTAGATGCAACAGAGTGAACAGACAAAGATGCCAAAATGTCACTATTTAAAATTTATAATTTTTTCGGGGGGAAAAAAAGATTTAAAAACAAGGAGTTGTTTAGCTAATGATGTATTTTTTCCAAAACAGACTGAATATTCAAATATTCAAAACTTGTTGATCAAGTTTGACAGGCGCCAGCTACAACTGTACCAGTCAAAAGTTGCACGGAGGGCTGCTGGAGTGTTTTGCAGTATTTAAGTACAAAATGTAACTGCTACAACTACAAGGATGGGAACAATGAACCACCGTCGACAAAAATTTACCGTTGACAAAAAGTGGCAACTGACAATAAAGCACCGCAACTTTACGATAAATAACATTACAGTTGTGCTTGTACATGTACATGCTAATTTTTTTCCCCGAATATTTGAACCAACCAAAAGCTATTTGAAATTTGAATATGCGGTTGATGATTGAATCTTCACATACCGGTATCACTATCACTACACAGCTCAAAAAGGTCAGATAGGCCGATTTCAAAAATGTTGAAAAGACATTAATATTATTAATATTATTGGACTAGAATTAGAAACATTTCAAATTTTGATAGGAAATACTAGACTAGCTTGAGTAACTCCAGCTTCAATGCTCATCGCATTTAGAGCTGTAAAAAACCAGATTGTAAGAGGCCCGAAATTCGGGATCGTATATCCCCCAGTGTATTCCAAAACAGTCCACTTTCCCTCTATTTTCCCAACCCATTTTCCATAATCCATTCCACAATCTGGGTTGGGAATAGTCTGAGTAACTTGGACCCAACTTATCACCTTTTTAACATTCGGACATGGTCTGGCGATAGTAGGGTCCAAGCTAAACCGCATCAGTCAGTCGACACAGTCGGTTTTGTCCTTGACCCGAAAACCCAACGTTGCCTAGTCCGAGTAACTTGGACCCAACTTATCGCCTTTTTAAAAATTTGGACATGGTCTGGCGATAGTAGGGTCCAAGCCCATTCCTCGACCTAGACAACACAGTCACTGACAGTCCCAAAAACCAACATTTTCCAACAAAAAACATCAGATTTCACCTTCAAAACGGCCTCCAAATTACTAGATATGTCACCTGAGGTACAAGTAGACATAGATGATTAAGATGGTTGTACTTAAGTTTACTTACGATCCGGAAAAAAAGTGAAATTTTCCGTTCAATTCTGGAGACCCCCTCTGCCTAGGTTGTCGTTGTTGTGCTCACGTTCAAAACTGCATGATAATGGCGTCTGACCTCGACCTCATGCAAATGTGGTGCGGTGCGCTTGCGCATAATGCACTGCATGCATACACGGCAGATTCCCCTGCGCCGCGCCGACGACTGTTTCCTGATGTAGAGCGCTGTGTAAGTTCGCGGTACGCCTGGGAGTCGCGCTGGCTAGCCAGGCGTACCGCGAACTTACACAGCGCTCTACATCAGGAAACAGTCGTCGGCGCGGCGCAGGGGAATCTGCCGTGTATGCATGCAGTGCATTATGCGCAAGCGCGCCGCACCACATTTGCATGAGGTCGAGGTCAGACGCCATTATCATGCAGTTTTGAACGTGAGCACAACAACGACAACCTAGGCAGAGGGGGTCTCCAGAATTGAACGGAAAATTTCACTTTTTTTCCGGATCGTAAGTAAACTTAAGTACAACCATCTTAATCATCTATGTCTACTTGTACCTCAGGTGACATATCTAGTAATTTGGAGGCCGTTTTGAAGGTGAAATCTGATGTTTTTTGTTGGAAAATGTTGGTTTTTGGGACTGTCAGTGACTGTGTTGTCTAGGTCGAGGAATGGGCTTGGACCCTACTATCGCCAGACCATGTCCAAATTTTTAAAAAGGCGATAAGTTGGGTCCAAGTTACTCGGACTAAACGTTGCCCAACAAAAACATCAGATTTCACCCTCAAAATGACCTAGGCCCTACAACTTACTAGATACGCCACCTGAGATACAAGTAGACATCGATGATTAAGATGTTTGTACTCTACTTACAATCCGGATTGAAGTGAAATTTCCCGTTCAATTCCGAGAGCTCCCCATACCGTTAAGTGTACCTTCCTCCCGGTGTGATACTGGCGCTACCTAAACAAGTGAGTTGACATTCGGGGGCGAGTTGGTATTGTGGGGCGAGGTTATGTTAAGCATGTGTGTGACACTGATCACTGACACATGCATGACCGAGTTGCTGCAGTGGCCAGCGCAGCGGTTTAGGGGCTTAAGCGCACTGGCATTAGTGGCAATGGCATGACTAGACACAACTTCACAAGTAATTAAAAATATATTGCCACTACAAATACTATAATCTTAGCTTTATACTCACCTAAAAATCTATCACAAAGTAACTCTGTTCAGGAAATGAATGCTGTGCATTTATGATGTTTTGTTCCTTTTCCGTCAAGACAGATGGGATTGGGAGTGAATTTTTCTGTATTGGAAATTAATTAAGAATGGCCCCGCAACCATGAATTGATTTTCCAATTGAATTGACACTAGATAAAGTTGGGTATCAGACGGGAACCGGCGGGATTAATTTTGGAGAGCGCCCTCTTTTGATGACATGATGATTATTCTTGTTGCTCGGACTCCACAAACAGCATTCCATTGCAATCTTTGCTGAGATTGTTCATGTTTGTGGATCATTTGTGGGCAAGATACAGCCATGGATGATGAATTCGACATACCCGAAAGAGGTACTCTTTCTTGAAAATAACATATTCATTCAATTCCCTTGATTATGTTGTCGTGCATTAACGTTTTATTATTAACATAATAACAATTTATGTGGTCAGGTGGTAGGCCTATGTACATGTCGTGTATGTTGTGTTTTTTTTTTTTACCATGTCCATGCTTACGAATTCGATGTCACTTTTTTGCGTGTACTGATGATCTGCATCCTTGTTGCATTGCAGTTGGAGTAAACCGAGCAGGGTTGTGAATCGATCTATTCCTACAAGTACAAATCCTCATCAGTAAAGTTTATTTTTATACAATGTAGTACAAAGGGGCTAAAGGTATCATGATCATGGTCCACCATTTGTAATTTTTGCATTTTGTTTGTTTGAAGCAACAAAAGTACTCAAAAGAGTCAAAAGATCTAAAGAAGGGTGCTGAACAACTAAGCTGATGAAGTTTCAGCTTGGCTTAAGCAGTATATTTCGAGGAAAACAACATTCTAGGATCTCGATTTCAAATCAAAAGTTGCTGAATCATGTTTTGAATTGGGCCTGAATTCAGCGTCTGAGACACGTTCTCACAGAGCCGATTGCAGCTACGTGATGTCGCGCACTGATCCGACGAATTAAAGCAACCGCGCACGTGCTTGCGTCGTGCCAATGCTTGCGCACGCTTCGCCGAATAACAAAATGAACTACTAGTTTGTATATCATACGGTGCTTCTAAACGTTGGGAAGGCCTTCTTTTGTTGATTTCTTCAAAATGACAGCTTGTCAGAAAGAATTATTTCACAGGGAGTTTAGTATATTTTTCAACAATAATTACGCCAGTTACTTTTTGGATAGCTGCAAATGATGGACTCTGGCTTTAACAAAGAAGTTGTGTTTGACAGTAAGATAGGTATATGTGACCTCGGTGATGATTTTGAAGAAAATTTGAAATGTTTTATCAATTTTTGTTGTCCTCGTCTAGTCACGACACCACCAGAGGTCTTTCCATGCGACATCTGTGGCCGATCCTTCGTGGAACAGACCCTCCAGCGTCATGTTAAGATCTGCGAGAAAAACGCTACCAAGAAGAGGAAAACCTTCAACTCTTCCAAGCAGCGGGCCACCGGCAACGAGATCCTGTCAGTGCCAAAAACAGACCCTAAAAAACTTGAAAAAGCGGTAAGACGTGTGACAGTTCAGTGGGAACGAAGCCCGGAAGACCCAGGTCAAGTTTAGTTTTCGTCATGGTGTTTTTTTCTAGTGTCCATGATGGTATCTGGCTACTAACATACATTTGCAATCACTAGCCATGCGCTATGCACTTTACAAAGCGTGAACAGTGACCTCAACAACTATATGCAAATCAGTTGGTGAAGGACGAATGCCTCGGGACAACAGATCCCGTTGGCTTATTTTTATTTAATTTTCACTGGATTTCCATTGACGACCTTGTACATGTATGTGAATACAGATGAGATTATTATTCAGTACTTGGTCATCATCAGTGCATTAGCTTAAATATAGTACATAGGAAGGTATGCTCAAGCCTCGGGTCTGAGTGCCAAAGTTCCCGAAATTAGAATCCATTCACAACAAAGTGAAGCAACACATGCTTTATATACATTGGCGCATTATACCCTGTACCGCCCAAAACCGCCCTGCTTATAACTCTATAAACTTGCCTCAACACTGAATGGATTTATAGGTTTATTAGGGAATAAATCCAAAGTAAAACAAGTGATCCTTGCACATTACAGAAAAGAGCGACAGCCAACTGGCGCAACAAGCATGAAGAGTTAGTGTCTAATCTTCGAGCAGCTCGAGGGGTCACCCGGGCAATGAAGACTGGGGCACCTCTACCTCCGCCCCCTTCACAGGCAAAGGTTAACCCAGGTGAGTCAGGGGTCAACCTGGGTGGATCAAAGGTCAATCCAGATGGTCAGTGAACATTGGGACACCTCTACCAACCCCACCCCCTCCCAAGCAGGGTCAACCAGGGCGAGTCAGGGGTCAACCTGGGTGGGTCAAACTCAAAGGTCATTCCAGGTGGTCAGTGAAGACTGGGGCACCTCTTCCTCCGCCCCCTTCACAGGCAAAGGTGAGTCAGGGGTCAACCTGGGTGGGTCAAAGGTCAATCCAGATTGTCAGTGAAGACAAGGGCACCCCTACCCCCCCCCCCCCCCCCCTTCACAGACAGGGTCAACCGGAGTGAGTCCGAGGTTAACCTATTGGTAGGCGGGTCTTCCCAACTCGCCCTTTGTAACCGTTGCAGGGTAACTTGTGCACAGATGTCCATATATGTGTTAGAAATTTTATCAGTGTTTCCATAGTGTCTGTGAATTCAGAGAAACTTGGCGCCACCCTTATTTAATAGTACTTCCCTGCCCCCAGATTATGTGCAATGCCCAACCTGCCAGAGAAACTTCAGTGAGGGTGCTGCTGAGAGGCACATACCTTGGTGTAAAGAGAAGAACAAACGACTACCGACGACTGGTAATAAATCCACAGCTCAGAAGGACAAACAGGCCATCAGGACACAGGTACTGAAATCAAACAGCTAGGCCTTTTGCTAGGATGCATCCTTAATCCTTTAAACTCCTCCAACTGCCATCACATAAGAACTGGATTCTGCCTCAGTCCTCTAAATCATTCATTTTTAAAAATTTATTTCAATAGAGGGGTGACCACTGCCTTATTCCTTCAAAATCCTCCAAAAATCACTGTTACATTGAGGCAGTGCTGATGATTTTCAGAAGCATTACCAATGATAATCAGTTAAATCCAGATGAAAAGGGTCTGGATTTAACATCTGCATTACCTGGAGGGGATAGTTTTACTATATACCACTCAAAGCAGTCAGTATTTGTATATGACGCTGCTCCACACAGCACAAACCGCAATTACCAGGCAGCAAGAAGCGATGGATTTTGCCTCCCAAAGCAGGCCCAGCACTAAGGACCAGAAGGACAGGGTCTGGATCCAACACGTGGAGGAGATAGTTTTACTATTTACCACTCAAAGCAGTCAATATTTGTATACATTTGTTCTACACAGTACAAACCGCCGCTACCAGGCAGCAAGAAGCATCAGATTGTACCGCCCAAGGCAGGCCCAGCACTAAGGACCGGAAGGACGGTCTGGATCCAACACGTGGAGGGAATAGTTTTACTATGTACCACTTAAAGCAGTCAATATTTGTATACATTTGTTCTACACAGTACAAACCGCCGCTACCAGGCAGCAAGAAGCGTCAGATTGTACCTCCCAAGGCAGGCCCAGCACTAAGGACCGGAAGGACGGGGTCTGGATCCAATGTACAACAGCTGGAAGACCAGTACAGCAATATGAGCATGAATGAGAAAACGCCACCGGGCAGGGCAAGGACAAAACCAGGTCAGTTGCTGAGATACCCTCATCACTGTAAAATATTCCCTTGTACTAGTCTTACTGATCTTGGGGAGTGGTTAGATATACGGTTTTTAACATTCTTGTTTAAAACAGGCCAAGTTTAAGACAGGCTAAGCACATATTTATTCCCTTATTTCAACACTTATCACCAGGTGGGCGTGGGACAGTCAATGGATCCAAGGCACGGAGCGCAAGTCTGGAACGACGGTTAGAGAAGCCAACTGATAGTTACCGCAGCTCAAGTGGAGATAGCTTACGTGGCAAAAGGTAACTAGTTTTTTTTATATATTTGTTATACAAACTTGGGTTAACTGTTGTTGCAATGTACATAAATAATTTGCATTACATACTGACAGGAAAATTTCTTAGGTGTAAATCTATTGTTCTTCAAATCTAGTTATTCTGCTTTTGTAATTCTTATTGTTGTTTATATTTATTTTCCACTCTCTTTGCCATTCATTTCTCAATTTCTTTGCATGCTGTTCCATGTACATGTACATTATGTTTCTGTATGTTGTTTGTGTAATGTACATGTTACTCTGTGTATGTGTTATCCATCCACTTACATGCACATTATCCATACGCCATTCATATGTAAACATATCGTCCACATGTTATCCACATACTGTCATACTGTCATTTTCACACAATCCATGTTATCCACGTACATGTACCATCCAAAAACATCTCAATCAACCACTAAACATTCAACATGTTATTGTCAACATGTTATCCACATCCCTTGCACATGTTACCATCTACAAACCATGCACTTGTTATCCACACGCCATCCTCATGTTATCCACAAACTATCCACATGTCATCCCCATCCATCCACTCGCTACCCATCCCACCATCCACTAGATACACTGATGATGAAGATGAATATGATTACAATGGCTACGGTGATACGGCAGATCGCTATGGTCGTAGGAGAGCAGGGTCCAATCACATATTGCCCCATCAACGCGTGAGGGCCGCCAAGGAGCTGAGGTTGGTATCCCGACGACTACCCCTCCCCTTTCCTTATACCAGCCCCTCCCCCTACCCCTCTCACTAAAAGTGATACACCTCATGATAGACTTTCTGAGTTGAATATATCTCTTTCAAAGGTTGGAGTACAGTTATTCAGTTCATCAGTTGTAGCATGTTAGTGGTTGATGTCTTATACATTCTAATGCATGGTGGTCTTGGGCGGTTTCTACTGAGTGAGACAGCACATGCGAACCACAATTTATATACCCATGGTGCTTTGGAATAAAGCATGAGGCAACTTGTACCAGGCAATGTCATTTGATCCACAGGCAATTTCAAAGACGACAAGGACGGATACAAATTTAAATTCCTCGACATATTCTGGAGAATTTCCATTATCTGTGGGACTTTGGTACATTGTACTTTGTTCTTCAGTGATTGCGAGTAAATTTGGTTGCCTCCAAGTTGTTTGTAAAAATTGCCTCACATGACTTAGCCCTTTGTTTATATTTACACTGCAAGTGCATTGTAAGGAAAATAATACAATGTTATATAATTGTGTGTCTTTCTTCAGCTCACCGACCTCCAGGACCCCCACCCCTCCTTCCAAGGCCTCATCGGGCTCTAGCCTCCAGAGAAAAGCTAGCCTGGAAAATGTCAACGGCCGGCGAGCCTCCAAGTTCTGCCATGAGTGTGGGACGCAGTATCCTGTGGTACAGGCTAAGTTCTGCTGCGAGTGCGGGACCAGGAGGGCCTATTTTGACTGAAGTGTTTCAAATATTTAACCTCTGTATGGGTCAGGGCTCATGTCATATGAATATTCATGCTGTTGCTAGGAGCTTCACCAATCAGGGTACAGAAAATGATAATCACCATGGTACACTTGCAACCAGTTACATCTTACAATCAGGTACGCGTAGGCTGCGCTAGTCCTCACGTAATGCCAGTGGCCGGGGGTGGGGGCTGTTGCCACACATACTGATAAATACACTCTCTGCACACGGCCATGGCGCGTAGCATGTGTGTGTATGAGGTAGAAACCATCAACAGTGCAGTCCAACATATTCAATTTCAGGGAAATGTGTTGGTAAACAGCCCCCCCCCCCCAACATTTATCGCTACGCTACAGCTTAATGAGCTTGGATCCTTTGTGTAAAATCTCTTCAAGGCTTCCTGGAAAATATTATGAGTTTACATACAGTGCCATGGTTCAATGGTTACGGCTTTCGACTTGTGTGCCATTGTACGTGGGTTCAAACCCTGAGGGGGAACATGGTGCCTGTGTTCTCGGGCAAGACACTTTCCTACAATTGCCTCTCTCCACCCAGGAGTATGGGTACCTGTGAAGGTAGAGACCAGATTGTGCTGATCTCGAGGAGAGGCAGAACCCACGGGTCTCACGGCCCGTTGAACAGGGGTAATAATTATGAAGACCTTTGGTATAAAGTGATATATAAGCTGAAACACCACATTATGATTATTTATTTTTTATTCATTTAGCATTATTTCTATGCTGCCAAAAAGTATATAAACTATATGGGTACAATGTGTTCATTGGAAAGTATTCACTTTATTCCGTGTTATGACTATAGGATATTGGTCAGTGACCATGAATTATCTATAAACAAAAACTTGGTTCAGTTCAGGACCATGGTTATTATAAAAAGAGGGGCCACAAATGAATTTTAAGCCAAATTAAAGTTGTATATAAAAAAAAACAGACAACGTTTTAGAATTAATTGGTTCCTGTCTGTATATCGTGTGGTGCTGTTTCTGTGATGTCAATTGACATGATTGAGGCACCCACTTAAATTCTGTACAAATTATGAATTTAAACTAAATCTAGCTCAAAATAAATCTTTTTCTAATTTTGGGCGAGATTACATAAACAGTATCTTGAATTAAATATTTTCTTTTGTGATTACAAAAATGTAGTAGCTTGCTACGCACCCAGTGAATTATGGATCTGTATTATTTGCTGAACAATCACTATTTTTTTATTTTGTAAAATATGATGTTGCTCTTTGAGTTGATGTCATTGAGGCTGTGTAGTATGTACATTATTTTTGAAATCATTCCAATGAACAGTCAGTACATGTACATGTTAAACTGAAAACATGTGTAATTCTTTGCCCCCTGAATAGTCTATCCAGATGTTTAAAAAATAAAAACACAAAAATTGGCACAATTTCCGTGTATACACTTACACACGTGTACTGCCATTTATAAATGTAAATACTTGTGTATGTACATATGTTAGGATAGAAAAGATGCACTGTACTTAAACTTGTTAACTTTAACAGTCAATGTTGAAAGTTCTAAGCATCCCCAGATTTCAATTTTATCACATTCTTATATTTACATGGTATTTTTCATAATCTCTCGCCATCTCATTTCCACCATTTTTCTCAACCATAGAAAGTTCACTTGGGAGGAGTTTGCAAAACCATTCTACCAAGAATGTTTTAATGAATATGAAAAATTAAGACAGCTGAAAGGGTTTTAAACCACATAAAACGTTTGTGTTGTACCCATGGGAAAGGTTGTAGAGCATGTGTATGTAGCTTATGTGCAATATGTACGTATTATCTGCATGAAAATAAACAAAGGACAATGTACATGAACACAGTCTTGTAACATCTGAGTGTTTGAAATGTGTCTAGTTAAAAACCAAGCAGACGAGAGAAGGTGACAAAAATGTTGTTGGAAACTTACTTTTCAGGTCGCTCATAAAGCTCACGAGATGGTTAATTCAATTGGGAACTTAAAATTGATTTTTAAAAATGAAAAGATAATAATTACAAAATGTTTTGGAGATGGGCATTATTTCTAAAATTGGAACATTTCTATTTGACGCGAGTACATGCGAGGCATATATCTGCACACTGTAATGTCAAAACAAAATACCCCAAAACAGGAGAAATTTAACAAATGGAAGAATACTTATGCAGTAATGAAGAGTTAAATGAAGGCAAAATACGGAATGCCAATCTTATCTAATTTTCTACAATATGAACCATTAACGATCATGTACCTGCCAGAGAGTTAGTGACTGGTGGGTACCGTCTCAACATCTACCACAACAAAATGGCCATAACTCGATTACTGTAATACATTTTCAATGGCACTAACCGTGAGTGCAAATGTACATTTTGTATTACACAAAAATAACGACACCTTATAATATAAAGTGAGCTGAGCTTATTAAGCATACAGTAATGAGGATAATAACTTGCCAAAATAATGTGCTAAAGTCACCAAATACCAGCAATATACCTACATATATACCTACATTCATATACCTACTCAAATACCGTCACTAAAACATACAAAATTATAGAAAAGGTTTTGAAATTAAGCTCACCTAATGTATGAAAAGGTTCCTTCAGAAGCCATATAGGCGAGGGCTCATGTAGCTGCACAGTAATAGCAACGTGATGCAACGGAAGAACAAGTATTGTGGCTGAACTCAAGAAAGAACAACGGTCTACAACATGCTACTTTTACGACGGTGTGCAGGAATGACTGTCTTGAATTTCGCGCTGCACCACGCCCGCACTCGTTGTGCGGACGACAACCCAAACATTCGCGCGCCCTCTTTTGAAGGAAATAGGCTACCACGCATTAAGTAAAATTATATGGAACAAAACCGCACTCGTTTTCCGGATGATAACTCAAAAGTAGTCACATTGAATCGAAATGTCGTATATAATATATTAGTGATATGTAACAAAATTCTGTTGAATATCGGGGGAAATTGTCAAATAATAAAAATGATATAACAATACCAATGTAGTGAGTGTGTTAAGCGCAAAAAATACAAGGCGAATTTAAGTCCACTTTCATAACATAAAAATAGCACACTCGGTTTTCAATAGTACGAGCACTACACCACTAACACTGCAACTTGTATGTCTAAAAATAATAGGTAATGTAAATCCCTACAAATCTTCAATAACGCTCGAGGCGCATTATTTCCATCTCTGACGAACTGTTTGTCCGCGCTCCGTGTGTTAATTCTTCTTGCCTCTCGCCCCTCCGCCGAGTAGAGCTTTCTCTAGCCCCATGACCGGGCCTTCCACGCCGATGGACAGTACGAAGGCCGCCGCGTAGGCAAACACCGTGTTGGAAATGAACATGGAAGCCTGTCAGGAAATTGGGTATAAGTTAAAAGTCAGCAAGTTATCTTTTGCTGTTAAAAGACTAAGGACACATTAGGTTAATGGACGTAGCTGTTGCCCAATGGAACTCATTTTTGATACTGCGCAGGGTTAAAAAAATAATAATAATAATAAGCAATGAAATTTAAATACAAATGTGCTTCAAGAGTTGTTTAAAGTAGTTGTTTGATTCTGCTCAGGAATGGTTACTTACATATTGGATGTAGGTGAAGTGATATTGGGACTTGGCGGTTGTGTAGAAGGAATACATGAGAATCGGATGAAGCAGATATGCACCAAAGGTGATGCGACTCAACGGTGCCCAGAAGCCCCAGCTCAGGAGGGCGTTGATGGGGCCTACAAGGTGGGGTAAAACGGTCACATTAACAAGCTGTAGGTTACGAGAATCTTTAAAATCCTAGGTTGAGCTGAGGAGGACTCGCTTTCCCAATTTTTGATCTTGCCTAAAATCTAATATAAAAATCTCATGTAGATCTTTGAAATGGAATCACAGAAGTTCTCATCATTTGTTCTTATCATCGGGTAGAAGAAGAAGGACGTGATACCATTGCCAACGCTTACCTCCGTAGCCTGTGACGCATGCAAATGCCACCCAGCCCACGGCCATAACAAATGCTGCTCGACTGAAAACAGTATACATCACCGCAGCATACTGCGGTATGAGCTCTCCATTGCTACGATATGGTCCATAAATGATAGCTAGGCCCACTCCAACGGCTACAACCCACATGGTGACATTAATCCACTAAAAATTAAAAACAATACACAGGAAAGCATTGGATTGATTTTAAAGATCTTTAGAACGTATTAGAGTATAGGTATGAGGTTTAGGTTTGGTTGGATTATGGTAAGGCCTCATTGTGTAAAAGGGCTGAATGAAGCAAGGCTATGAGTTTGAATTCATGACTTTTTCAGGCCAAGTTTTACGTGATATTGGGCTGATCAAGTAATCGGTGAGAAAATTGTTTAATTCAAGTGTTAATGGCGGTCGAATGGCTAGGTCATGACTGTGTTTGGTTGCGTAAGGATGAATTACATTGAATGTGATTGTTTCAGGTTGGGGTGATTTGGTTGGTTGACTTGGGCTTGCTTTGCGCCAGATTCGGTTGGATATGTTTTTTTTTAAATTGTGTAGGGTTAATTCGTAGTTTGATATGCCTTTGGTTGGGTTGGGTTGGGTTGGGTTGGGTTGGGTTGGGTTGGGTTGGGTTGGGCTGGGTTGGGTTGGGTTGGGCTGGGTTGGGCTTGGCTGGGTTGGGCTGGGTTAAGCCGGGCTGGGCTGGGTTGGGCCAGGTTGGGTGGTGTTGAGCTATGTGGGGTATGATGGTGGAGTTGGTGTTGCTACTTGATTAGGTAAGGTTAACCCTGAGGTTTGGTGGAGTGGTAGCATAAGTAACTCTCTCACCTTGCTCATCTTGAAGGGTTGCCCATTCAGTTTGTAGAAGACGTACCCAAACACCATGCCCACCAAATAAGCAGGAATACGGCAGTAAGGCTTGCTGTATATGATGTCCGGATTGCCATTCCCATAGTCTATGATTGTGTTGTTGTTGCTATAAGGTCTACGGGCAAAACGAATTACAAAACGAATTACAAATGCGTAGAACGAGCGGATTTTTTTTCCATTACTTTTAATTGGAAGGCATGTTTGCCTATCGGTGATTTTACTAGAACGCAAATGGACCCGTCATTTGTGCTGACGAATAATATTTGGAGTTTAACTAAGCAATCCAGGCAAAACTTAAAGTTATTTGAATCACACTTACGGGTTGAGGCCTACACCAAGAGTTACCCCGTACTTGGTAGCTATGTATGCAGTGATGCCGAATGAGGCAAGACACAGTGCAACGATCAGTCCAAGGCCCAGCTTGGAGTACCTGCAGAAAATGTTATCAGCGAGTCATTACAGTTTAACATTCAGATTAGAGATATCAAACGGATCTGTTTTGTCCTAATAACAATCAGTTATAGGATCCATTAAGTTGCGTGTTAAATCGCAATTCTACGTTCATGGTTTTTCCGAGCTGCGTACGTATCCCGTAACCGCACCATTTCAAATGGTCCGGACTGTCCCGTCTAAATTTTTAGTTGCAGTTAGCAGATCCTATAAAGGCTAATCAATTTTGGAAGTTTTCGTGACTGATGTCAATGAAGCAGTAGATTTTCTTCGTGCGAAGATTATTATCAGTAGTCTAATTATACTCACTTGTACAACAGGTAGATGATGATGGGGCTAATGACGAAGAACTGCATATCATTCGCCAGATACCACGACCAACCCATACACTATACAAATCATAACCAAATGCATGCTCATAAAATCACCAGAGGTAAAACAAATAAATGTTCACGTTTAATAGAAGTACGTTATTATCGCACTCCCTGAACTGAATTATGTGATCAGTCAAGAAAACACTCGCAAGGCACTGTTTTATATTTGAATATATCACTTTCATGACAGGGTAGTAATGTGCCAGGGATTTGACTCAATGATAATTATTTATAGTTGATAGTTGATTGGATGGAACGCAAACATCGCTGACCTCATATGTACACTCGCAAGTGCTGAAATAGGGCTTACGTACATCGATAATTGAAGGTACTATGGTCGGTCTAAAACGCACAAACTCTATAGTAACACTCCCACTTTTGCATGAAATGTAAACGGGAATAAAGCTAAGCCGCACAACAACGTCTGCTTTCCTGCACGAAGTTCATAATAGTCAATCCTTACTTCTTCTAACACAATAAACGACACGTTTGGAGGTATTACCTGCTGACCAAGTTGGCCGGGAAACGGATACAAGTTGTTGATATAGAGTAAGTTGGTCCACCATCGTTCCCTGCACATATTAGCCGCCGATTCGAACAGGTCTATCTTGCCTGGACCCTCACCAAAATGAACGATCAAAGTTGTCCAGACGGCGATGCAGATCATGTAGGCCGGAGTGATACGGATGAAGCGATGGAGGTAGAAGAGAAACCAGTTCAGTCTACCGTTGGCTTTCTGGAGATGCTTCAATGTCAAGTACGTCAGAAGGAGACCGCTGCGGTATGAAATTTGGGAAGAAAATCACTCTTGCTGTCGGAATTCATCATAAGGGATCTTCAAACATTATGTGTTATCTTCAATCTGCAAATTCTACAGATCGCAATCGAACCAGACAAACAGGGGCTTTCAAATATAATGTCATCACTTCAAAATAGGACTGTTATCGTCACCCTCTTTTATACCCAAAGACAATGCCAGAATTGAACCTCCTTGATCCGTTGACACAAGAAGTACACCAGATGTCAATACATCCAAAAGTGGGATAGATCCATCAACATAAGAAACCTCACCGCAAAAGCACATCCCATTACCTAAATTGGAACTTGCACACGACCCGACAAACCAACGTATGCGACAATCAGAAGATGGTGTTTGTACGTGGCCGAACAGATACAGATATGAGATGAACAATACCAGAGGAAATCTTTGTCTCGGTTGATTTGAGTATAGCTTGACGACTATAGGCACTGGATGTCTTGTGTTGGACTTGTGATGGACACGACTTCAATACATGAACTTGAAGAAGATAATAAAGATATAAATCGAGTTGTAAAGAGTGTTTTTTCAATAAGATTTTCTTAACTATCACTTTACCTGAGGAAGAAGAATGTATCCACGGACACAGTGGAGTAAATGATAGCGGAGAACCAGAATGATTGGTAGAGCTCCATACCCGTGTAGCGAGGATCATCTATGAAATGAACAGGGAATTGTTTACTTTGACCCAGGTTTTCTTCCCTTCCACCTCAAACATGGACCCTTTGCCTTCTCTATTCAGACTCGAGTTTATACCTCGCAAAGAAGTAAACGATTTATCTGTTGAGTCAGAGCACTGAGTACAGCAAAGATACGAATACGAGGAGGAAAAATGCTTAACAATTTGACACAACAGCAGAAATCGCCCTGAGCACAAGCGAAGCCCGTGAAATACTTGTAAGTTTAGACAACCTGACGTACAATATTTTAGAAAAACTGTATTTTTTTATTAACCGATAAGCGCCGCAAAATTGGTTCCTTATATCAAGCTACCCTTAAAGCGGTGTGGAACTGGTTTAAACAAACCGTTACCAATTATGTAATTGAAACGTGTTTTAGATATTGTTCTGCAACAAAGAATTAGGTAGGTCTACATCCTACATTTTGATGTTTCTCATTAAAATCTATTGATGATTAATTTCTAATAATGTGAACTACCTAAGAACGGCGTTATGAAATAGATGGAGTGCCCCAGAATAATCCACCACATGCTGATGACGCGGATGCCGTTCAAAACGCCCAGGTTTCCAGCCGTTTCCTTGGTGTTCAAGATCTTCGAGCCGTTGTGCAATGCCGAGAACCCCATCATGATAGCATCCAGAAAACCTGTAGGAAACAAACAAACGGCGTTACGGAGTCTAGGATGAAGACATAATGGCTGACTAGATTCAACCTCGTTCCCAGGGTGTCGACTGTCCAGCAGTACGCACCGTGCACCTGCTCTTGCTATTTGAAACGAGGCTGATATAAAAAGGAAATCCTTGGGACCAGTTTGGTCTAGATTGTAGTTACTATACAAAGGATGTGTGTAAGTTAGTTGCAGAATGATAATATTGGGATCCGAAAACTCATAATTTTCATCTCAAATTCTGGCGGTTTGATGCGGATTTTTAACATTTTGTTTGATGCTTACCTAAATTGAAACAAAAAATAACTCACCCATTTTCTTAACCTTTTTCTTGCTGGCTCTAATCGTGCATGTGCAGCCATGCGCGTGCGCAGTAGGCTTGGTGTGCTCTGCGGCCTCTTGAGCGTCCTCTACGTCGACGAACCCACCGTTGGTATAATGTGGAATGCTGCCGTTGTTTTCCACGTCATCTTTCCCCGTCCAATAGACGGTTCTGATGATTCCATTCCCATACTCATTTTCTTTCTGTAAAAGAACGATATCACAGCAATACATGAGAATTAGGGACCATTATGGAAATGATGTGCGCACGGGAGGTGTGTACGGCGCCTATTATTGCATCATTTGGCGTTCATGTCCAAATCAAGTTCTGTGTTTTGTGATTTTTTTTAAGAATCTTTATTATGTTCGCAATCCGCAGTAATACTTTTGTCCGCCAGTGCAGGAAAAGAAAAGAAACGGAAATGGAAGGAAACAAATTGGCTAAAAAAAAATCCCAAATCAGGAGGAAAAATGTGCCCTCGTAAAATACCATCTAACAAAAGCAAAGGCGTACGTATCTGTACCTTCTTGTTATACAACGAGGTGTCTATGTTAAGACGCAGAAACGACTTCTTTCTGTGTCCTAACACGACAAAGTTTGATTCGAATGCACACACCTGTTTCATAGTTTTGTTAGTGTCTTCTTCCATCTTCTCAATTTTGTCCTTGGTTTTGGTGATGTTGGCCTGGATTCGTCTTCGGACTATAACGTGATACACGGTGCCTATGGTAACCAATAGGAGAAAGACCCCCAAGATGCACCTGCGAATAGAGTCAAGTACGTCAGTTTGTACCGGTGTGGTGTCAATGTTGAGTACTGTGTGACAGTTTTATGTTGAAGTCAAAGATTATTTTAATGCTGGGAGGGGGGGGGGGTAGTCTGGGTATCATCCGTTATTTAATAGAGCCCACACGTACGCTCCGCAACAACGTCTGATCATGGGCGTTGCCAGTTTTTTCTAGGGGGGGAGCTCTAAAATGACTTGCCCATCCCACCCCATTGACACCACAGCGAACGTCCATGTTATAACACTTTAATGGTGCTATATATGATTTTAAACAAACGTTGTGAATACACAACGGCCTGATCCATTCGGCCCGCCCATCACGTGTTGACTTAGTGTTTTATAACCGAGATTGCGCACATGCTCCCCCTCCCCCCTACGACTGACCAATGTTAATGATTCACATAATGGAAAATTCCATTAGGTTCCCGTAACTAAATAACGTCATCAAGAAATATTGCAAGTCTTGAGTTAATCGCTCGGAGCATTTGCTCGTATTGGCTTGTTTACAACAATGTCTGATCCAGAGCCCCCCCCCCCCCCGAAGTCTTGGATCTCACGTTTTGGACAATACCGAACCTGCCACTGCAAATAGAGGTGGCACAAAAGAGCAAACCATTGGAATATGCGCTGTCATGGTTTACTTTGCATCATTTAAAGCCTTTGTTCATCCACAAATATTGATCTTAAGTCGTCATGGAGAGGCTGTCCGCACCATGTTGGGTCCACAGTAAAGTGAAAGTAAAGCGCTTCACAGACTGTGCGCCCAAAAAGTAAACACTTTAACTGCAAACATTGGATCACGATGGGCTTGGGAATCTAATTTGGAGAAACAACAAAATATATTCCTTCCACCGTGTGTCATTGTACAACCAACAAAATCAGAAGCATATTTGAAGGTGTTGTTCATCACGAAATCGTCTTGAATATTTAAAAATAAGACCTGAAGGTTGGCAAGATGGACAACCAATGGTGTTTTAGGTTTGCAGTAGCATCATGTAGTCAATCTCTTTGGTGACATGTGTGTTTCTGAAAACATCAGTGAGGCGTTCTGGCAAAATGAAACGGACCTGCGCACAGGCCGAAGTGGAGGGGAAAACAGAACGGGTTTCAGTTTTTTTTTTTATAAGGGCGCTGTCATAACAAAATTCAAATGAATAAAGAAATTGAAACGAAACGAGGCTTTTTACTTACAACGTTACAATGGCTCCTGTCTTCCAGGGGTAAGGGACGACACAACTGAACTCGGCACTTGACCCGATTTCTACGAATGCAAATACAAGATCCCTTCAGTTTAAAAAAAATCTCTTGCGATTTTTAGCGTAGCAACCACAGACGAAAAATGTTCAATTTGAAGTTCACTTTCCACATAAAAAATGATAGCAAGGTCGTCCCCGCTTTTTTATTTTTAGAGAGAGCGCAAGACGTCCTAAATCGGCCGTAAAAACAAAACATTTAATTTCAAAATTCGTTAGGAGTAAAAACAATTCCAATTTATGATTAGCCCAGGGTATAAACAAACGAATTAAAGAAAATTTCGACGATGGGATAGTGCAGTGGGTTCGGGTTTCTTCAGAATTTTATTCTTCAGTTGGTCCTTTCCTACCTGGAATACTTTGGACGATTTCCTTGAGATCGGCTTCGGTGCAGCTGGAGGGCACGCACAGGCCCACGGTGAGCGTTGCGACCTGCAGATAAAGTACCAATGTTACGTGTCACACAGATGCACATGAATAAACCTGTAAGTCTCGGTAATTCTCCCACATTGTCGGTTTCTAACGGATGTCTGATTGGAAAAAACATGCGGTAAAATGTACCGCACAACGGCTGTTATGGAACAAAGAGGTCTGGTAGAGATATTGTTCTTTTCGGGTTTTTATTTCAATTTAAATCATCTCTGCATAAGATGACGTGGCTGAAACCTGATAGGTCAATTTTGATTAAGACTTTTAATGTGATTCTCTGTTTGGGTGGCGAAAACAATACACTCTGATACATACCGAGGCCCAGTAATTGAGGCTACAGTACTTTGTGTTGAATGGAGCGTCTGGGTTCCAGACATTCACTGCCTGACATTGCTCAAAATTGCCCAGACTGGCTGCATTGTACGTCGTCAGCACCTTCAGATTTAGAATGTCTCCGTTTGATAGCCACACTGTTAAGAAAATAAAATATTCAGTTATTTCTTTCATGTTTTTCGGACGCTTTAGATGTCTTTTGTGACGACAAAATGCTCCGTCCAATAGGCCATGTAGAATTTCAATACATTGTTACATCAGAATATTGTGATTATTTGGTTTTGTTTACAAATAAGAATTTCAACACCAAGTCTCGAGATCAACTGAAGTGAGTATAGGTTAATTCGAAATGCGATCCAATTTGGAAAGTCCTTTTGAGGTTAACGTCTGTTTTGTTGGAACAAAAACGGTACTAATTGGAAAAAGCCTGAAAACATCAAATGACCAATATGTTAATGTTGGTTTTGCTTGCACTCTTCCGAACGATAACTTCTACATCAAAAACAATTTTCAAAAGTTTTAACACACTCACAAATTTATGATGTTCCACGTATTGACAATAATAATATGGTTATATTTTTTGGTACCATGACAACAAAATGGCTGTTCTTGCTTTCATTATTGCCTATGTGAAAATTGTTATAAAAGAAATGTTCATGACGACATAAATTGCCGATTGTTAACAAGAAACGGCTCGTAAAACGCAAATTTGATATGAATTAATATTAGAAGTAATGCACTAAAAGAAATATTACGGGTGTATCTCTTTGTGAAAATGTTCGTTTGTTTTAAAATTGATTAGGGCCAGCTCGGCCACAGTTTTCCCAATCAATACAAGAATTATTGGGTGAGTAAGCCTACCATCGCTGAAATCTTTCCATCATGAAAAGCTTCGAATCCTATTATGGATTTTCACATCTTTATATCGTGAATACAAGACTAGATAAGTGGATCCATGAGTTCAGATATGCGTTCAAATTGAAGGAAAATGTGAGGCTACTCACTTTGGCTCGCGTATGGCTGGCCGTTGCCTATGTCGGTCAGAAACTGCAGAGTGTTGTTCGCGCAGACCGTGGAGACATTTTGGAGAACATTGTCTTGGAGATACCTCGCGAGCACATTTTGGGCGGCCATCGTCAAGCCCTGCAAGTCTAACTCCTCGGGTACTAAGCCGAGATCCACAAGGAGTTGCCGTACGTCTTCAAGAGTCGTCGAGTTTTCTGAGAACAAGTCAAGTCCCGCGGCCGAGCTGTTGGAAACGAGAAGAGCTTGGAGTTGTTGGGACAAGTCGTTCAGCGAGACAGAAGCTAGTGTCTCAGCTACTTGCTCTACGAGGGCGTCAGGAACTGGTGCGTCCCCGAGCAGCTGACGGATAAGTTGCTCTATGATAGCAGCCTGGACTTGATCGCTTCCGTTATCTGGAGATGATAAAAGTTCTCCGAGAATCTGGGTTAAACTGTCGAGCAAGCCCGAGGCCACAAGTTGGTCTATGACCTCGTCCGGGACACCCGCGTCTCTGAGCAGCTGACGGACAACCTGTTCTATGATAACGGCCTGGACTTGATCGCTTCCGTTATCTGGAGATGATAAAATCTCCCCGAGTGTCTGGGTTAAACTGTCGAGCAAGCCCGAGGCCACAAGTTGGTCTATGACCTCGTCCGGGACACCCGCGTCTCTGAGCAGCTGACGGACAACCTGTTCTATGATCACGGCCTGAACTTGATCGCTTCCACTATCCGGAGATGATGAAATCTCCGCGAGTGCCTGGGTTAAACTTTCGAGCAAGCCCGAGGCCACAAGTTGGTCTATGACCTCGTCCGGGACACCCGCGTCGCTTAGCAGCTGACGGACAACCTGTTCTATGATCAAGGCCTGGACTTGATCGCTTCCGTTGTCTGGAGATGATAAAATCTCCCCGAGTGTCTGGGTTAAACTTTCGAGCAAGCCCGAGGCCACAAGTTGGTCTATGACCTCGTCCGGGACACCCGCGTCACTTAGCAGCTGACGGACAACCTGTTCTATGATCAAGGCCTGGACTTGATCGCTTCCGTTGTCTGGAGATGATAAAATCTCCCCGAGTGTCTGGGTTAAACTTTCGAGCAAGCCCGAGGCCACAAGTTGGTCTATGACCTCGTCCGGGACACCCGCGTCGCTTAGCAGCTGACGGACAACCTGTTCTATGATCACGGCCTGAACTTGATCGCTTCCACTATCTGGAGATGATAAAATCTCCCCGAGTGTCTGGGTTAAACTTTCGAGCAAGCCCGAGGCCACAAGTTGGTCTATGACCTCGTCCGGGACACCCGCGTCGCTTAGCAGCTGACGGACAACTTGTTCGATAATCGCTGCTTGGACCGGATTGCTTCCGTTAGTTGGGGAAGCAAGAATATCTTGGAGCGGTTGGATCAGACTGTCCAGTGAGGTGGAAGCTAGCAGATTGGCTAGCTGCTCTACGACCTCGTCTGAGACTTGTGCGTCTCCGAGCAGCTGACGGATAACTTGTTCGATGATCGCAGCCTGGACTTGATTGCTTCCATTGATCGGGGAAGATAGAAGATCCTGAAGTGGTTGCATCAAACTGTCCAGCGAACCAGAGGCTACGAGTTGGGCTAACTGCTGTACTACTTCGTCCGGGACGTCGTCTCCGAGCAGCTGACGGATATATTGCTCTATGATTGCGGCTTGGACTTCTTCGCCAAGCAAATCCTGAAATTGCTGCAGCGGTTCATCACCAACGGCAGGCGAATCCGTAGCCGCCTCATCTCCATCCACCAAAAGTTGACGGATGAGTTCTTCGATGCTCCCGTCCTGTGCTAGGTCGATACCTGGAAACAGGTCCTGGAGTTGCTGGAAGAAATCACTTGGTGTCTCGGTGGCTGTCACCCCAAGGGAAGAATCCTCTCCCTGCCCCCTGCATAGCTGTGGAGTAAGGACTCCGACGAGCAGGAAAACGATCAGAAAAGGTCGAGCCATGGTTGAGCTAGAACTTGCTTCACTTTCTAGCAGAATGATTCTCATAGTGGGAGACTCGGGTCTTATATCCAAATCTATTTGCGGAGATCTTTGCAGAGAAGTCCATTCTATGTTTGTGTGCCGTCTTAGAAAAAGCCTTTCAACAAACATCAGAGATCATGCAGCCTTTGCTTCTTCTTATATAGTTTTTTTTTAACTAAGGAATTGCCGTGGACATTATTTGTACAAGTTAGTTGCTTTACATCACGAACAGTTGGTTTTGCCCTGTCACCGACATAAGTGCTGTGCTAGTCTTGGTTAAACACGCCGACCAACGTGCACTGTTTGTTCCACATAGTAGTAGTGCGCCCTCACACGATATATTTCGGTTCAGAGTAAAATTATTTATAACGTCATCTCAAGGACACTTGAATGTTGAACGACTATCTCTCCCCTGTCTATAAAGTGTCTGGCTTTCCTTGCCATAAGCTCAATACGAATAATTCATGGCAATCATAATCATTTCACATTGTAATGTGCATTAAGCAACGCTTTCAACCGAGTCGCAGTGTTATAAATTAAATGCATGTTCAACATTAAAGGGCCGTACAATTTAAACACACTCAAATTAAAAGGGATCATGACATGAAATTTACACAGGATCATCATGAAATATTCATTCCTCACAAAGGTGTGAAACTCTTTCTGGTGAAAATGTTTGTGAAGTGCACTTTTTGATGTACCGTCCTTTTCGTCACAACTGAAGGCGCTGTTGCTGTGACGACAGTGAGGCATACATTAAAGTTCAAAGGGCTTTCTGTTCAAATATAGAACCAAAACAAAATACAGAAACAGTTTTCATAATGTTTTCTCATAAAATTGCTTTGCACTGTAACAGCAATGAATTACCAAAAACAGAAAACATTATACAGCGAAAAAAATCCGAAATTCTGGAAACATTTGTTACTGAAGCAGTTTTTGTAACACGGAAGTTTGTGCTTTATTATGACAGCACAGCATCGAAACTATACATTGAAAATGGTAATACGAAGACTGAAGTGAAGGTAAAAAAAAGACACGTCATGGGTGCATTTTCAACGATTTAATTAAAAAACAGATTTGTTTTCTTGTTCCCCAGCCCAGGCGCACCTTTGAATATATGTAAATTAGAAAAAGTACCCTTTGTTAACTAGTGGTTGATTTGTGAAGCGGCACCCGGCGTACTGATGTCGGTCCAACCATCTTAGTAGCGCTCTTTCGTTTTGGACGGTTTCATGACGGTTCGTGACAGCTCGTCATGACGGTCGTCCTGGCAAATCATAGTCTTCGCTAAAACGAACAGAGGAGCCAGTTGATTGACAAAATTTTATTGATCACGCCCCTTCGTTTCAGCGAGTATTGTGATTGGACAGGACGACCGTTATGACGAGCTGTCATGACGAACCGTCATGATTAACCGTCCAAAACGAAAGAACGCTAGTAGGAAAGCTGACGGCTGGTTGTCAGCTGCGCATGGGAAATATATACGCACCGTGAGCTAGCGCACGGCTTTTGATAAAAAGCTTTACGGCCATTCTATGTACGCTAGTAGTCAAATCTTGTGGTGACTAGTGTGATCATGCACATTGCGTTTGGGGAAAGTTAGTTGAATTAAATAACCATATTTCTTGCTCGATATCGGTCTATATTGGTGGTGTGGTAGCAGATAACACAGATAGTTCACATTGAGTCTCGCAGGCAGTTACGTTAAATTGCATCATGGAGCAGAATATTTTCCAACTCGAATTGTACAATATGAATGCGTCTAACGACGATGAGCCAGGGAACTTCTGTTCGATACCAGACGCACCGATTCTCGATCTCTCGGATCCCAGTATCGCAGCTCGCTATGAGTACGACTCGGTTCAGAGCGCCCTTGTCACGATCGTCTACCCATGCATCTGCCTATTCGGTATTCTGACTAACTCGATATTTCTGCTGACGGTTATTCGGGTACCGTACATGAAGAGCATAACCAACATCTATCTGAGTAATCTGGCAGTATCGGATATCATGTTCCTGTCAACAGGTAATTTGCAAAGCAATGTTAGTTACTAGACACAGACCTATACAATCTGTATCAAAACAAAATGCAAACCAAATATAACGGAATGCCAGACGTAGAATGTGTTACCAACCTAGGTAATATAGGTTTGGTTGGAAATATATGCCTTTCCACTTTAAAATGAGACATCAAACGTCCAATAAATCTGATAATTTTTGACATAGTTAGGCCGAGTAATTTTCTAAGAGAAGTCAAATTGACCATGGAACCAAAGTTTCCATTTTAGGCGTTGGGACAAAGGTAGCCTTATATAATTGCCTCTGTCTGGATATTCGGGTGGCCTACAAAAAAATATTTAGCGAGTAAACTCACTTCTAAACACTTTCTTACTATCATTTTGTAAAAGTGCTAAAAAAAAATTAGCATGAGGTGATAGCAAGGAAATGTTTATAAGTGTGTTTACTCGCTTGTAGACCAGGCACATATCAACAAAGAGGCAATTAGGCTTCCTTATTGTCCCAACCAACGCCTAAAATTTAAAACTTGGTCCCATGGGCAATTTGACCTCTCTTGGAAAATAACTCATAACTCTGTCAAAAATAATCAGATTTGGGCGTTTTTAAAGTTGAAAGGTGCATCTTTCAAACCATTCCAATATTATATATGTTGGTTACACATTCTGCGTCTGGCATTCTGTAACATTTTGCTTGCATTTATTTATACACACTTTATACACGTAGTATATCAATATATTGCATGTAGTTTTTCACAAATTGCTGCAAATTAATTCGATGCTTATTTTCTATTGTTTAAACTCTGGCTCAGCACTGTACAAAAAAGATGCATTGCATGTAAAAAAAATTCTCAATAGAAATACAACAAAAGACCAAGCAATGTAGGATGTACAGCGCTACGAAATTACGTTTGAACAAAAATGAAACAACACTAACTTGTTCTATGGAAAACGTGGCCTACCCGTACAACTGCGGATATAGAAAGATGTCGTACATGCGCCTGCAGTAAAAAGAGACATTACATTCTCATTTGGGGACGAGTGTACCTCATTGACTCCCATTAAAATCAACTGATGAGGAAACTAATCGCACTAGAAGTACTCCTTCCTGAAATAAATTGCATCCATTAAAGGACACAGGAGACCAGAATTAAACGAAGGATATCACTAGCGATGGGGCATTACTGATTAACGTGCATTCATTACCATAAGGGAACGTGCGTGTTCAAAATGCAAACATATTTGCTAATATCCTTTCTGTAGAAGATTGCTGGAATACATTACTTGTTTTGAAACGTTTTAGCACAATGTTACGTGTTAATTCGTTTTACGTTTCAGCTCTATCAATACTGAACACGAAAATCCGTGATCTTGTTTGTTTTAATCATACAAGTTACTCGTTCACTGCACATACTATTTAGTAGCCCCGCTAAGCTTGTTGGTCCATGTATAATTATTTTGCCTCGCTATGATTTTCAAGATAGCGTGCCCGGCCTGATACAGGTCAAATGAAAGACAACCTATTATAGTGTTTTTAATCTTGTCAACTTTCTTTTCTCACAGGTGCCGGCTTGAGCCTGTGGAAGTACCTATCGAAACCAGTAACTACTGATTTTTCTATATTTGGTGGAGTCCTCGGCTGTTTAATCACGCAAGCGCTAAACTCGACACCGTTTTTTGCTTCAACATTACTTGTAACAGTCGTGGCGGTAGAAAGATACCTTGCCATCTGCCGACCAATTGAACACCGGAAAATCAACTCTAGAGGGCGCGCTTTTACCCTTATCGCAGCCACTTGGGCGGCTGCTTTTTGCTGCGAAGCGTTTCTCCTCCCGTCCTATTCTGTTTACACCTCTAGTTGCGTCATGTGGCCTGACGACCACTATTTCAAGGAATTCCCCAGAACCATCGGAAGTTGTTTCACCCCGGCGCTCTGGACAAAGGTACTGGCAGCTTTTGTTCTTACTGTACCCATAGTTTTCGCTTTCATCTTCACTTTCGTGCTATACTTTCTGATAGTACGAAAACTGGGCAAGCGGATTGGTAAGCGGGCACCCAGCGAGCAGTCTTCGAATCGCGCGAAGTCTCGTCGCACGAGAAATCACGTGGCTAAGATGCTGATTATCGCTGGTACCGTATTCTACATCCTCCTGACTCCTCGCACAATAGTGATCCTTTATTACTATATAAAGTTTTTCGCTGGTACCACGGGGCTTCCCCCGGGTGTAGAGTTTATACTAGTCACTTCAACCAACATTCTTCTATATGTTAATTCTGTGACAAATCCTATCATTTATGTATTTTCAAACAAGCGTTACCGAACGGCTGTTATACAAGCATTTTACCCAGGTTCAAAAGTTATCACGGTTTCTCATTAAACAGTTTTCTTATCTCGCAAAATATACGCGGTTGCGAAAAAGAAAAAGTTTTTGTAAAAAGATAAAGGAAAGTATTTGTGATTTTCAAATTGAACAAAAATTCGCAAACAAAGACTAGCGTGGTTTCAACCGTGACATCATGATTGGGCGCCTTGCGTATGTTGTAGAATGATTCGTTTCGAACATAGGACCAGGCAGGGATAGGGTGTTGAATTCATAACATCCACAAACAAAATGCGCATTGTATGACAAGCATGGAATAAGTAATATTACGTCATAACTATCGGTGAGATGAAAGGGGTGCTCAGAAATTAACCACCCACTACTTTCGCTATTTGACACTAAGCAAATTCATTGTTCAAAAATGGCAGCGAATTTGTAATACTAGATAGGCAACATTTGTAAACTGATTAAGTATAGTAACTCAAGTTGTGTTGTATATATAAAATTGTCTTTATGTGTCTTCAATTATGTGCATCACTATCTTTAAAAAAAAATTGTAAAAAAACCCCTAAAAAAACAAAACGAATCTATGGGTAGTCATGCTGAAAATTTACCTTTTGTGTTCAACAAATCCAATGTGTCGAATTATTAACTTTATGCTATCATATGTTTTACTAAGCCAAAAACAAAATGCACTATATTTTCTGTTTCAGGCGTCTGTAACCGTGAGAAAGCATTCTGCTTTGGGTTTCTTTTGCGCACAAACAGCCGGCCTTGCCAGATAAAAAAAATAGACCCCGAAATTGTTATTGAAGAAGTATAGTGTATAGTAGCACAAACATTAGGTTTAAACCTTTGTTCTTATAATTTGTCTATGGTTTAACCAAAGTTGACAATATTATTAAAAAAAATAAGCTACTTCTTCATACATGTATATAGAAGAAACTCGTTAATGTGTTTAATTTTAGTAGAGTCTACCAAAAATATTAAGTGGTATACAAAAATATTTGGGCCTAGACTGGGCAAGCTCGAGGGTTACTGGTACCATTTGTTCCAAATTAATAAACAGTTGGGGTTATAGGGGTCGGATCTAGTGATTGTAGCTAGGAAAGCTTGGTAAACTGCCACAGGGAGTGGGTTGGTATATGCTGGAAAACCGGTGAAACAATTTTGAGAGGAAAAAAAGCGCAAACAGAGTGAATTAGTTGGTGATCGTTTGCTCCCAGCCATATGTTTATGTTAAGTTTATTATTAATGTCACTCATTAGGGGGTTTCAAAGCTGGTCCCAGACCAATTTGGTCTGAGGGTCGTATAACGTACCGGTAGTCATTCGAGTCAAATTTTGGCAAAGGTGAGGCTGAAGGAAGTCTGTAGGGGAGACAGTCAGTCAGTCAGTCAGTAAGTCAATCCGTGAGATAGGAACAAAGATGATTGTGGCTGGCTAGAGAAGCATTTGGTATAAAATTGTGTAAAGTGAAGCGTCTTCTCTCAGCTGCTATAATGAACTCGCTTCACACATCATTTGGTATAAGTGGCACCTGTTCCTCGTCAGTTGTGTTAGCCTGCATTTCAAGCCGTGATCTCGGGACCCGTCTCCTGTAAGGTCACAAAATATGCATCATGAAATTCTGGTCTGTTGTCTGTGTGTAGCAAGTCTTAATTAGTAACTTAATACATAGCGACTCGAACCAATTAGACTCAATGTTTCATCAGCCATTCATTCATTACTTTGTGTTAGCTATTATGCAACCAATCAGGACATCTCCTTTTATTTCAGTGTACTAACCCTTTTCCACAACGATACTCCCAGACTCCAAACAGACACAGTACAATCATGACAGAGATTAAAGCACCAGCGAATATTGTAGTCGCGTAAGCGAATCCATAGACCTGCGTCAAAGCGCCCCCAAGCAAGGGCCCTACCAAGGACCTGTCCGTTAAAGGAAAATGTATACATGCATTAGGAATATGTGGCATCAGCTATATACAGTAACACCGTCAGAATTATCGGCAACAGTATCAGCAATAGTAACAGTCACGCATAAGCAACAGCAGCAGCAGTATCAACAGCTATTACGAAAGCAGGACAGACATAACAGCAGCAACAACAACATCAACAGCAGAAAAACAGAGCAGCAGCATTGGTAGCAAAAGCAACAGCACCACTTTCTATCCAAGCTCACTAAGATCCCCTTCATCCGGATTATCTACACAAACCAATCAACAAACTTACCCGAATGCAAATACACCGTTCCAGAGGCCAGCTATTATAGAAGTCACCCCAAGGTTGGTAGGAACACCATACCATCTGTTGAAGTAATTCATATATAAAATGCCTCAATAAGATGCAATGCATATTCATGAATGATTTTTTTTTAATTTCGTGTTCTTCCCTAACAAAATCAAATTGTCATCAACATTTTCATTCTGACTAATTGCTCCCTGTTTTCCTTTTCCATTGGCTGTCGTCGTTTGTAACTGCATGGACGTCGTGAAATAGTTCAAGGGGATATTTTCCCCTAAACTTTCTTCTGGGAAGTCCCACAAAGTATTTTGTGTTAGAAAAATAAACCATAACTTATTATTAAATTCGTCAGCATCAAGAAATATTTACATCATGCATTCTATACTATTGAAAGCATAGATACTATATCAAACTTAATATTGTAACGAATATTATGTAACAAAGTTGATATAACGTAAGTGGCACTCTCTTAAAACGACGCCATTTTTTCAGTACAATTAGAAACAGCGCATTATATTGAATCTTTTTTTCCCCACAACCTAAAAATAAAAGACTGACAAAAAATGTAATGCCTAAAGTAAGACGTGTAAGAACCCTACGTCAATAACCTTGGATTAACGCAAGTTTGTTTATGTACATGAAGTTATTCCACGAGTCAAAACTATTACCTAACAAAGATTGAGTTTTGCATTTCTACGTGGACTAACAACCATGATCTCCATGTTTAGAAATATTGATAGCTCATTGGCCAGTGTATGCTGTGCACATTTGAAGCTACGCGCTGGTTCCCAATCCTTCTATTCGAATATGGTACGGGAACCAGTATAACGGTACCACTCCCATCACCAGCAGTTTATAATAAAATAATTAATGCCATAAATGTTTTTAAACAAAATATTTCAGTCACACATAAATTTTTGGTAATTACAAAAGTGAATACATTTAATAAAAAGGTACAGATTGCTGTTAAATTAGAACAGAATTGTTTACAATTCCATTGTCATGGGACTGGACTGGTAATGTGGTGGACCGTGTTTTCACTTCCAACAGCAATGGGATATCCAGACTGTGTTTTTATAGGGATCAGTACAGGGACTTACTCTGCAGAGATGTACATGTCAACGAATGTCGGCATAATGAACAAACCCATCATAACGGTGCCAGTTGGAATAACAAGGATAGCTAGCAGCTTGGTCCTGCAGAAGAAAAAAACAAGTTCGGTTTCAGTTTCGAGGAAAAACGATCAGATATGGACTACAACTAGACAATAAAGATGTTGCCACTCTTTTGACTGATATATTATATTTTTTACAAAATCGTTATTTATGCATTGAGGAAATATGCGATTGCGTTATAAAATGCTTCCCCAAATTATGAAAGACAATAAGCCTAAACATTATTAAACCTTTTTATGAGATACGGCGGACACATAGGGGGCGCTGTTGGTTTGTATAAACTGTTTTGTATATTTAACCAAGTTTACCAAAAGCTGAATAGCGCCCTCCTTTTGTGTCCGCCATAATTTTCAATGGCTAAAATGAGATGCCGTAAACTACTGATTAAACTTACGAGGGTATTTTCAGCAGTTGCGACGGTCCAAGGAATAGGAAAAAGAGTGCGCTGCCAAATGCTCCAAAGACCATCATAATTCGTGTGGCTTTCTGAAACCGAAACAAACAACTTTTTCTCTAGGACCAAAATAACATTAAACGATCTATATAAACGAGGGACAGAGTACACGAGATGCAAGATATAAAATGTATCAGCCTCCACTCCAGGGGCGCGTGCTCGTTCCTTACGATCGCGCAAGGCATGATGGGAAACAACATGGCGCTGCAAGATCGTACCCACGGGGTACGAGGTTGAAAATGTATCACTTATTAATAGACGCCATTTTTTTCGCAATGAAGTGTGGGAGAAAAGTCAACACATTTGTTTTGGTTGCGCGTGATTAAAGTTTGGTATCTCTGTCTGAATGATATGAGGATGTTTGTGGGCTACTGTACGTACTGTACGATTCTGTCATTTTGTCACCATTGTTCAATAACAATGGCGATAATAACGGAAACGGAAACATCGTGAGTTGAAAAATTGTGCGACCGCCATTTTCCCACTGTCGTTGACATGACAATAGTTCAACTAGAGTCGTTCGCATTTAAACTTCAGTGCGCATGCGCTAGGTACGTCACGAACCAACCACTAACCACTGGTCCTTGATCGAACTTAATCCTACTTGCTTCGCGCTAAAATGGAATCACGTCTATGAAGATGATAGCAACTTAACTGGGTTTTTGATTTATTACTGCTCTTACGTACCTTTGCGTCTGCAACAGCTCCCCAAATCACAGAGGAAATTGCGTAAGATAAACCGAAACTTAGAAAGATGAAACTGATCTGCAACACAGTAAAACCAAGCTGTGGAGAAAATGGGGGGAAACATTAGGCTATACCAATCAGTAAATAATTGACGACAGTAAGGGAACTCGTAAGTGGGTACGTTAAGAAAACGTTATTGATACATGTACATTGAATATTCATGCATGGTCAATTTATAGAGCTAGAAATATCTTAAGCCATGACATCAAAGAAATATGTTGCTATTATGCGTGCATTATGGGTTACCATAGTAACGTACCTCTTTTAAATGAATCGGCACAGTTGGGACGAGGGATGTTAAGGAAATCGCTGCCACAAAGACAGCAAGTAAAGCCAACCAAATGGCTGGAATGCTCAAAACTAGAGTCAAGGGCCCAGACTCTTCCTTCTTTTGCCCTGATGAAAAGAAAACACACAACCAAGTCCAACTTTTTTTTAAGACCATAAATTTGAGTGAATGTTGGCCTATCTAAAATCGTATAAATAGATTTGTGTTAACAAGTTAACACATAATTTGAGGAGAAATCATTGGATCGTGGGGGAACGTACCCTGCTGAGGCAATAAGAAGAAATTGGCGATATCAATTGCAAGAACAAGCCCTCCCAGAGCGAAGAACGGAAACCGGAAGCCTCCTGCCTTAAAAAACACACACCACACACAAAGAATAAATCAAGTGTTTCGAACAATTTTATTTAACCAGCGCAACTATTTCAACCACTTCAGCAAGTGTATTTACAGATAACCAGTGCTTCATCGACCTTGAACTGAAATAGTCCATATCTGAGCACTTTGTATTAATTAACGACACCATTTTGGAGTGTACATGTTGCCTTTACATAATTTATTGAATTGTTAACGTTGAAGCAATTCAATTAATTGCTACATTAATGGAGATATAAATAAAATCACTTTAATATGAGCGTCCTCATTCGATGAAAAATATAATCAATACATTTATCTTGGGTTTTGCCCTCTATAGGCCTACCCATTTAAAAATAAAAGAAAAATTGTAAATGTGTACTTACATCATATAACAGACCACCAATTGCTGGTCCAATTGCATATGCCAGCCCTCCGGTCATCTCAATCAAGCTCTGTTAACAAACATGTAAACAACTGATGTCACACCAATCTTATATACACTGATCTAACACTGATCATACGCTAATGTTAATCTGATCTCACACTAAATCTCACATCAAGATTACACTGATCTCTAAACCGATCTCACACTAATTAACCAACACTGATTGTTACACCGATCTCACACCAATCTTTAATACACCGATATACTACTGATTACACACGGACTGCCCTTCAGCGACTTACCACTGCAGTGCCGACATTCTCAGGAAAGGTAAACGCCACAATGGCCGCTGACGCAGTTTTTGTAGCCGAGCTTCCAAGCCCTTCCAAGAGCCTTATGGCAAAACTGAACGCAGTGAAAGTTGCTCTGGTTGGCATGTCAACAATAAACCTGCAAAAATCAAATTTTCATAGATTATTGATTTTCCCCCAAGAAATTACACATAGGACTAATATTTTGAAGTGGATCATTGAAGCGCGGATCCTCTACATAAAGATAATTAACGACTTCCCAAATTTCTGGTATGACACTTGCGCGTCGTGCTCGCGTGCGCGCCTGGCGCATGTTTCAACCAAGAGATCTCTCACCCAAACAAGACATTGCATCCACCGGTGACGAAGGCTCCTGCCAGAAAAATAAACCGAGCTCCAAAAACAGGAATCTAAAAAGAAAAAACAAAGCAAAGTAGGCCCGTTCATGCGAAAAAAAGTCTCGAAATGTGAAAATATATTGTGAAGAACACCAATAGATAATAATGATGTAAAATGTCTGTTAAAGTTAATTCAAAGTATTTGACAGTACACAAAATTCCCAAATGTAAATCGAAAACCGGTGACTATTGATAAATCTTATCTCACATAAAACTAGTTGAATGCTTATGGTCAGAAGAGGGCGCTTTACATCCTGGTATTATTGAGAAAAGTCCTCTGCACAGCATTGCAACAGTGCCCCTCCGGATTTAAATGTTCACACGTTCATTAACTTTAACCCTCAGGGGTGCATTTATATGCAGAATCGTGTTGAACTGAGCATGGTTTTAAACAATGACATGTACACTAGACATGAGCTGAATAGACCAGGTCGCAAGAACGCCATGTTGACGATAAACAATTGAGAACCTACAAATTTGCCCCAAATTGGTGACCCAATGCCTGTAGTGAGGGCGAATGCGCTAAACACGAGTCCAATTACAGTCTGGTTCATCCCTTTCGCCTTTGCCTGTTAGATGTAAAAAAAAAAATAATAATAATAATAATAATAATAATTATAACAAATAGACCTAACAAGAAGTCAGAGTTTCAGTTTTTCTCAGATTATTTTTTTAACTCAGGAAAACATTTTTTTCCGGGGATATCGAAATTCAGAATGTATGTAAATGGTGCAGAATTACACAAATTGATTAGCTAGATGTATATTCCGCTAAGGAGAAATTCCTTTCAAAAAAATTAGTAATCAGTAAGTATTTTGGGGAAAACGTATATTTGGGTAAAGTTATTTATAAAGCAACAAGCGGATCCCAGGGTGTGGTACACTTTTTTTCTGTGTATACTACCTTGATGGGGTAAAAAAACAGAAATATGGACCGTTTGGGATACTCACCTCAATGGGGTAGAAAACTGAAATTATGGAAGCGGCCATCATGTTTGACAGTGAAGCCATCATAGCGCTGGCAAAAGTGGCTTTCTGGTGGTAGGTGAACTTCGTTCCCGCCGGTTTCTCCTCAGATCTTTTGTCAATGTTGTCATTTTCTTCGTCAGCTCTATCCTTATTGGCCAAAGACGACGTGGGCGGGGCGCCGTTGGGAGGAGTTTCTCCGCTTGAATTTACATATTCTATCGAAGGCGAAGCGTTAATTTCAACCTTGTTTTCCATGGTTCTGACAAAATAAGTAGGAATGCAAAAACAAAAATCCGTTTTTAACTTGGAAGAAAACAACAACAAAAGCCTTCATTAGGTTGATTCACTGAACTGTAGGCCTATTCTTTAACGTCTTTACGGTAAGATTTGGATTTCCATGGCGTGAGGTTAAACCTCATGTACAGGAAATTCACAGCGCTTCCTTTATTGAATTCTTTGATGACCTTGATGAAAGCGCGGTTAAAGGGAAAATACATCATTTGCAAACATCAAAAAATAAAACTACCAAATCATTTTGAAATACCTTGCTGGACTGTTAGTGAATGACAGTGTAAAGCATCCTGTAAAATCATGGCACCTGGTATACTGCCATTTTCAAGAAAAGTGGTATTTTTGTATCAATTTCCAACGCTGATCGGCCGATCAGCGTTGGAAACAACTGGCTTTTTTTCAAATACTGGCCCCAATTGACCATCGCACTTGTTTGCAATCGATTACAAACCTATGAACGGGTACGAGCCAGCTAGACTGGTTCCCTGACCTTACAATTCCACAATGTATGTAAACTGCTCTGTTTCTTCTTATATGGAGTCAGGGAACCAGACTACAGGAAAATGATCGTTTTTCTTGTTTTTACAGCTTTTTCGAACCCAAAACCTCAAAAAAGTCAGTGTAACTATATTTGCTATATATTTCCAACCCCCCAATTCCATCCATTTCTGAAAATTACAGCAAAAGCAAATGATGTATATGCCAAGGAAAAGGAAACCTCTAGCACACCCCGAAGGTTTTGTGTACAATGTGCTGTGTAGAAACATATGTTAGATGTCTGCCTACGGTACCGGGCATTATTCAGTGCTAGCTGGGAAGGTTACAGACTCTGTGGAGGGGATGTGGCGATCCCCCCCCCCCCCCCCCCCCACGGCAGCATACGAGTCTGGCCCAATCGCTATCGAAAGAGAGATGGACACATAGGTTCGTCCCCTTTACTTTTTTACACAAATAACATACTTCAGGATACTACAAACAGTTCCATTCATGAAATATAGAGTTAATTGTCTGTCTGAATGCATTGATGTATTAAAGGTTTATCAAATAACTAGCTGTCTACAGTGCTCTACAAACAATAGATAATTACTGACAACTATATACGTACGCTACATGGGAACGACAGGATTGTTGTCCTCTATTCGTTATCCTGCATGGAAGTGGGCGCAATGAATAGGTGGTTGACTTTTGTGTCGTGTTATTCTCATTCAGACCAACGTACCTAGGCACAATTGCAGACTACCCCGCCACTCGATCTATCCACCTCGTAGCCGGCTACGAGGTCACGGCTGATTGACCTCAATAAACATTCTCAGCGCTACTTATATGTACTATGCGTCATGCTCCATTGCACTCCCACTTCGTGACCGCGTAGCCGCCAACAGGGTAGTTGGTTTGACCTGCCCGCACACTAAAGGGTGCACGCCTGTAAATAGACCAAAAATCCGTCCGCCGAGCTCATAAATAAAAGTTATACCCTCAAAATATTCTATATTAGAGAGTTCTGAGAACCATGGAATTGGGGAATTGAAGACATGTGGCACTGAACCTCTGGCCTGGACTTGGAGCTTCAATTCTGAGCATTTTGGATGCAATCTGGCCCGAAAGTGGCGCTATTTAGCCATGTTGTGGAGGGATTCTTTTCAAAATGGCTACTTTTCCAGTTCGGGAAACATCATTCGTTTTAGGGGTGTTCTTATTTGGGTGAGAATATCTCAAAAAGTCAATGGTCAACCCACCCAAAATTGAAAAGAAAATGAAAGATGACATGTTGATCATCATTTTTCTGTGCAGCTTGAATACCTGTGAGAGTTCTGAGTATTTTTAAATGAATTTTGAAGTATGGACATTTAGCACTAGTGTCTATGGGAATTTATTTGCAGGCGCGCACCCATAACTGTTGTATGTTGAAGCGTACGTACCGCTTCATAATGAATATGAAATAGTACTATGAAAGAAACGCAATCCACACCACGCACAACCGGTTAGTCTGAACCTTGTGGCTCACGTTGCATTGAATAAACTATAATTGTTAAACCATTGCAGCTATGACGTCACACTATAATTAAAAGTGTGGATTCGGAACTACGAGCCTGTTACACTGGTCACAACGTGTGGATTCGGAACGACGAATCTTTAGTAACGACCCAACATACAGATTTCTATGACCGGACCTGTTGTGTTGTTCCCTGTATACGCCCTCAAGCGCATTACTGGACCAAGCCCAGTCTTACGTGGCTTTCTTGGCTGTAGGTAGCTTTCCATCACTTAACTCATCACTCATCACTTAAATTCTGATGGGAGGCAGGCTGGCTCTAAACAACAGACGCACATACACTGGGGATAGCCTGAGTGCTTATCAAGGACATATTTATGATCGTCAACTGATTAAATAGGCATTGTCTTAGTAGGGGGCTCATGAATACGAACCCGGGATTCCCGGGTTCGCGAAAGCCACATTAGACTGCGCTTGGTCCAGTAATGCGTGGGTGATACCTTTAATGCCCATTTCGATCCTATCGCGTATGGGGGAAAAGTCAGGTAATAGTGCCTGGAAGACGCAGTGGACGACTACAGTTGGAGACATGATGGACGACACGTTTGCCTACGATGACCAGCAACCCGTCTGCTCGATACCAGACGCGCCGATTCTCAATCTTTCGGATCCCAGTATCGCAACTCGCTACGAGTACAACTCGGTTCAGAGCGCCCTTGTCACGATCATCTACCCATGCATTTGCCTATTCGGTATTCTGACTAACTCGATATTTCTGCTGACGGTTATTCGGGTGCCACACATGAAGAACATAACCAACATCTACCTGAGTAGTCTGGCTGTATCGGATATCATGTTCCTGATAACAGGTGAGATGATATCTTTTTACTTGATTAGTTCTACATCCATGAGTTTGCCAATGGGGTGGCTGGGATGTTGGAGTCCAATGTGTTTTCAGGGAAGGGGGAGGGTATAGATCAGGTGTAACACTCAACGCGTAAAAGACCAAAAGTCCTGAAGTTATTAATCAATATTTGTAATTATTGATTGAAGACGTTATTCAGGGAACTTCAGGAAAATTGCAGGTGTTTTTTTTGCCAATGTGTCAGTCGAGGGAGGGGCCGGTTAGCCATCCAAAACCGCCCCTGGGATCCGCCCATGATATCAAATTAATTTGTAGATGAATAAAATAATGCATTTTCCTAATTCCGCAAACTTTATATTGATTACTGTATGTTTTTGCCGTTCAATTTAAACACAATTAGCATTCCATTAGCTTCAGAGTCATTCCGTTAGCGCGAATTTGAATGATTGAAGTTCAGATTATAGTTCAAATATATATAAACAGAACATTCCATTTAGTTTTTCAAGCATGCAATCGGGAAAATACAGCAATCGACTTAAGTACTGCGCTCATTCGAATTGAAACTATCTGCGAAGAGCATTCGAATTTGAAGCGAGAACATGTGGTCAAATGAACTCATCGATGGGCAAACATTTTCGACATTTTGGCAATGAAATTCATAATATACCATTTCTGGAAAATTATCACAGAAAATTGAAAGAATCTATAATTCCAAGAAGAATTCAACATTGATAGAAAATATTGTTTCATTGAAGGAATATAAAACCACGATGAAAGAATAGATGCCTAAGAAAATAAACGACAGCTCGAAATAATAAAAAATAATAAGTGCAAATGTCTAGTGAAGGCTTTTGTTTTCATTGCCAGGCCCGGATTAAGTGTTTCGTAGGCCCTAGGCACCAGTTTTCCGTAGGCCCTACTCCGCCCTTGGTACCAGCACCAAATTCATGTTGATGCTATTTGATCACTGTACAAATCCAGCCAGGTCCTTGCTCTAAAATCCTGTTGCCAACAAGGGCGTCAATCGCTTCTCAAAAATGGGGGGGGGGGGGGGGGGGGGGTGGGTGTGCACATAACATGTGAATCTTGATCAGAACTAATGCGAGTGCGAAGCCTAAACTGCTTCAAGGGCGGATCCAGAACACAATTTGTGGGGGGGGGGGGCCAAAAAATTTTGGTCCCCCCAAAAAGTGTGTCAAAAAATTACGGCGTGGGGTTCGGGGCCCGCTTAAGGGCCCCGGAAATTGTTTGGATTCTAGATGCTCTGTGGTGCGATCTGAGGCAATTTCTGACCACTTTAACCAATGTTTTTTGAGGAAAAGATGGTGGTGTACTCATTGCCTGCCTTTATTACGACGTCACGTAAAAAAAAAAAAAAAATGGTTTCGTTTTTTTTTTGGGGGGGGGGGGGGGCATGGCCCCCTTTGGCCCCCCCCCCCCTGGATCCGCCCTTGAACTGCTTTGGGTTGGGCCGAACAATTTTTGGATTCTGAATTTAAAACGCTCTGTGGTGCGATCTGAGGCAATTTCTGACCACTTCAACCATTTTTCTTTGCAAAAGATCATCATTTAAACATCATGCTCGAGTTTGGATTATCCGTCCCCCCCCCCCCTCCGTTAAGCTCCCACCTTAATGGCAAATGAATAACATAAATTATACACCAACACGACGAAATAATAAAATGAAATGCTGTACCGCATGTGTAATGGCTGTCCTAATTGGTTTTAATGGACACTCGCCGTCGCGCAGTTTTCAAGAAATAATGCTTAAAAATTCAAGGTCCAAGAAAAAAATTAAACAGGAACGTCACCACCCAAAACTGATGTTAAACAAAAGCTGCATCAATTTGTTCCAGCTCAGTAGGTACATTATAGCTTCAAGGCAATCCTGAAAATCCTGTTCTTTGGTTATTCAAAGCCGGTATACGCTTTCGCTGTTGGAGACTTACACGAGTTATATGCATTGGATATATAAATATACTTAGTTCAAAATTCAGTTGTATGTAATCTGTTCCGCTGATCATTTTGCGTGTTAATTTAAAGGAATTGTTTTAATAAGTAATCAACAAGATGACACAAAGTAAGTTAAGAGCCAGAATTAACTCAATTCTCCAATAGATATTGGTAATTGTATGTGAAGTCTTTTTAAAATTGCCTCGATTTTTTGTTCCGGCAGGTACTGGCTTTGGCCTTTGGAGGTACCTATCCACACCAGTTATTTCGGATTTTTCTTTTCTTGGTGGGGTCCACGGCTGTTTAATCACACAAGTTCTGAACAGTACACCTTTTTATGCTTCGACTTTACTTGTAACAGTCGTTGCGGTAGAAAGATACCTTGCCATCTGCCGACCAATTCATCACCGGAAAATCAACTCCAGAGGGCGTGCCTTTGCCTTAATCGCTGTGACTTGGGTGGTAGCCTTATGTTGTGAGGCTATGCTCTGTCCAACTGTCTCTGATTATACTGTGAAATGCGTTATATGGCCCAACGACGACTATTTCATGGAATTTCCTCAAACCATCGGTGGCTGTTTTTACCCGGCGCTGTGGGCCCAGATTCTGACGGCTTTTGCATTAATCGTTCCAAGCCTGCTGGCTATCTTCGTCACCTTCATCTTGTACATTTTGATTGTGCGAAAGCTCAGCAAGCGGATTCACAAGGCACCCAGTGAACAGACGTCGAATCGCGCGAAGTCTCGTCGCACTCGAGATCATGTTGCTAAGATGCTGATTACCGCTGGTACCGTGTTCTACATCCTCCTGACTCCTCGCACAGTAGTGACCATTTATTACTACATTAAGTCTTTCGCTGGTACCCCGGGGCTTCCCCCGGGTGTAGAGTTTATACTCTTCACTTCAACCAACATACTTCTATATGTTAATTCTGTGACAAATCCTATCATGTATGCGTTTTCAAACAAGCGTTACCGAACGGCTTTTATACAAGCTTTTTGTCCGGGTTCAAAAATGATTAATGTTTCTTCAAGTTCCTGAACAAGTCACGTTTTTTTTGCCGTTAAACGTTGCATCATTCTGAAATGCGATGCTAGAGTTCATTCTGTACCGTAATTTTAGGGTGTTTTGAGCAGGTTCTTTTAGGACACAATTGAGCATAGAAATTGACAGGATTGAGATGTGAACCCTTCACCTAATATTTTGGCGCTCTACCAATCTTTAATTAAACGTCCTGCCCTTTCATTTATTTTAATAGCGATTATTTGTCGTTTTCTTGACAACGGGTGCCATCTGAATTTTAACGAATAAGATTCAAAGTGACTGTTTATGCACATGGTTGCTGTCTGGTCGTATATAGAACCTAGATTCTTTGTAAATTTCGTCAAAGAAAATAACACACGTTTATGAATCAGCATAGCGTTATGGGATTTGAATGTTTCTGCTCGGACGTT